CTAATCTTCTAAAAATAAATATATTAGTGTACGTATTTAGGAAAATCAATTTATAGATCTGGGCAACAGATTTCCTTCATTTAAAACACGCTCTGCTGATCACAGCTGTTGGCTCCACAATGTCTGTTGGAACAATGCAGTTTACTACATTGTACATGCATTTGGTAGTGTTCATGAGGTCTGAGGCTGAGGTCTGTCAATATATCAGGGTTGCCGTTGTATTGTTGACGATCAAATAGTGATTCACGTGAGCCAATTCCATGATGTGCTAACTATTGTCAATTCATTAACCCTCCTGCTTGAAGGACAACGTAGTCATACTGAAACGGGAAAGGAACGACACTTGGCCTGGTAGTATCCATCTAGGCGAGGTCACCCACAACTGTCAATAAGTATATACGATTTCAAGGTTTTCCTCGCAAAGTCTATTTCTAATGCATCTAACTCGTCTGCCAACGTATTGAATAGTTGATAGTGATTATATCATGTAACTTGACAATTCCCTCTGTCAGGTACGACAAATGTACAAAATCAATGACTCCCCTTCAGTACATGTGTACAAAATTGATGAAACACTTATGAAACATATGTAAATACATAGTTGAGTGTTCGTGTATTTCAACACCTCCGTAAACGTGTGAAGATTCAAACCGAAACGTCAGTCTCATGAACCTATTCAGACAATGACCTACTTTTCAGCCGATCCGAATTTTCTCGTGTGAAAGTAAAAAGAGACACCACAAACAACTATGGTTACACTGAATTCCAATTCCTTGTTTCATAAGAACATGGTATTTACAGGTTAATTTTAATTTTAAACTTTAATAACATCGTATTTCAATATTTTATTGCGAGGTTTAGGCAGCAAGACCTTAACTAAGACGTCACAGACTGCCCCTGTTCGATGAGGTTGTAAAATGATTCACAATTCATCTGGCTCACTGGTTACATCTGTTGTGTATTCTTTGCGCTTATCCAGTGTAGGTTTGTAACGCACAATGTGATTGATATAATATCACGTCCGTACCAGACCGCCAAACGTTTCTAGCGCTAGAGCCTCGTTTTGAGATTTCCATGATTTCCAGATTTCCGTTTGTCAGAGCAGGCTGTACGACAGAGCACGCTGCACGACGTGTTTGCAAGGATTAGAAGGAGCGTAGTATTGCAATGTACAAGTGCTTAAATGTATCAAATAATACTGATTAATATGTATGTATCCAGTTGAATAAATTGGTCTCAAAATTCTGGACTGGTTATAGTACTAAGGTGCGCAACAGGACGGAACCCAGTCAGCAGGAAACGAGACTGTTGTGTAATCAATGTTTTGACTTGAAAACGTTGTTCATGTTACGAAGATATAAAACGTAGTTCATGTGGCTGCCGGATGAAACATTCATTTCCAGCGTAAGTAAAATTGAGAAATACTGTTCCTTCATGTGGGGCTAAGTCATAGTATAGCGCAAAACCTATTTCTAATCCTATGTCATAGGATTGCAGTACCCTGAAGTACCTTCCAGAACTCTGTATACATACATGTCTAAACATACACAATCATGACATGTCTATGGGGATGGAAACACCATTCTTTATCCCAGATAGCATTCGGTCGTTGGCCCTACGTTGGCAATGTTGGCAAAACCATGCTTGCTTACTCACTTATTGATTTGTGCAAAACCATGCTTGCTTACTCACTTATTAAATCATCAAAGTACTATATTTATGTCTGTTATGCCCATATGCAGAAAACTAAAAAGGCAGTATGTTCGTTTGGGTGGTTTTCCGTCAATGTTTTCCAAAGATGGATTAACCTTGCTACTAGCACTGATCATGATCTGTCCGGATTTATTCAACCGGAAGTGGGGAAATCCCTGCAAACGTGAACTAAGCATAAATACATTTATCGGGGTACCGCGCACGTGCATTTTGCGTCGCGCATAGAAAACAACAGTTACGCGGAATAACACGCGCGATATGAGAAGGTGTACCACTCGATAAACATAGTCCGCCACTGCGGTCTCTGAACGAGAGTTGCTCGCACAAACCCGGAAGTCTGACTTGTAGGAAAGCGCCTCATTTTGGATGAGTAAGGGAGATAACTAAGACACAAACTGGATCTACTATGGGAATGGTTATCTTGTGGACGCTTTTCAGCACGGGGCTGCACGCTGGACATACCAGAAGGTGTTTTTTTTAATAAAACCGATTAAACAGAATCACAAAGTGATGTTAAATGGCACCAACCAATCTGACTAAGCAAGCTAAATGGCCTGAATATATAACAATACAAATACTCCATTTGTTTTTCAAAATGAATATAAAGTCATTGACAGTCTAATCCATTTAAAATCAGTATGGTGAAAAATGTTCATGAAAGACATTGTGATTCTATATTTATGAAATGTTATGACTATATGTGTGTAAACGTTTCGTTCAACAGCTCCAGAAACATACTTTTATATATACATTCAGTGAAAACTGATATACATGTATATTTGAAAACAGTTCTGACTTAACTTATTCAGGTTTTTGGTTTTTGTTTTTGTTTTTGGGGTGTGTGTCTCTCTTTTGGTTTTTGGTTTGTTTATTTCTTGAGAACTATACCTGTTATCTTTTTAGTGCTATACTTTCGCTGCTACTTATTTTATCTTGCCACTCCTTTATCCCAGCCAGTATCCAAGGTGTGAATGATTTTATTTAGCATGTTGAACTAATGCATCCTATGCCATTACCAGTTGTTTTATAAGAACCATGATTTGTTACATTCTTAGTTCAGTACAAAACCTTACATAATTGATTTCGTTCATATGTCATGTGTTGTATTTTATGTATTGCTATGTATTATGTTTATTCACAATGAAGCTGTTGGAAAAACTAAGTATCATCTCATCTCATAAGAGTCATATTGTCTTAACCTCCAAGGTGTTATTTCCTGATGCCTGTGAACATATAGTTGGAATTGCCTTTCAGTATCCATATGCTTGTCATCTGAAGCGACAAACGGGATCAGGTGGATCAATTGTGCAGAACCCGTGAAGATCGGAGTTAGAATTGATCTTCAGCAACCCATTCTTGGTGACTAACGGGGTTGGGTGGTATCGCATCCCAATTGTGTAGATCGATACTCATGCTGTTGATCACTGGATTGTTTGGTAGAGACTTGATTATTTACAGACCACCACCATATAGCTGGAATATTGCTGAGTGCAGTGTTAAACAACCAACCAACCAACCAATTGCATAGATCAATGCTCATTGTATCAGTCACTGGATTGTCTGGTCCTGCCATGATTACTTGCAGACCACCCTCATTTTGCCAGACCACTGCTGAGTACCATCCTTAACAGCAGACATGACAAAAACAAATCCCTGTTTCTGTATCTCAGTATAAACACACACACAAAAATAATTTTTTTCATAGGTATTCAATTTATTCATATTCAAACTGAATAGTTACACATCATATATATTAAAAAATTAAAAATCTACATATATTTTGATATTCAAGCAAAAAAATCAGCCAGACATGACCTTGACATTGTCACAGTTTGGTAAGACCTCATACAGTTGTGTACTGAGGTACAGTTTTCAGAATCACTAAAGATACACATTTCTTAAAATGCAAAAGATTCACAAACAAAGTTTTGTGCAATTCGCAAAGTCAATTCATAATAAACAACCCTTAAATGCTGGGAGACTACTGTCTGTTAATAATAAATATATAAGTTATTTCACAGCTTGCTGTTCCTTATAATGATAATTATAATAGATAATAATAACAATACTAATCATCATCATGGCTGGGTAAAGTACAGGAAACAGTTCTTCTACATTAATTAGTATAGGATATTAAAATGTATTCCTTCTGACAAATGTTACACCAAGTCTGAAAACAAATCAAAAGTCAACTATCTTCATGGAAAAGAATTCTTTCCTCGTTTAAGGGAGATTATACGACATTCCATATCAAAGTTCTCTCTATTTGGTTACACATAATATTCTAATTATGCTTGATATAACCTGATTATGATTAATATTAATTCTGACAACATATTAATATAACAAGAGAGATCATAACCAAGCTGACGTGTTATTTTGTAATCATAGGTTTATCGTTAGTTAATCCATATTTGTATACTCAATAGTTACATCAATACACCATTCCAGAGTAAATAATGACCATGTTAATTTTTTGGTAAAAATATCAAAGATAACAAACATACCACTATTAATATATGTATATTATTTCATAATCTCTAAAATTTCATTTTCAAGGAATAAATAGATATGTTGTTCAATAAGTCAAATATACTAACCATTAACAATTTTGATCATACTGAGCAAAGTTCGGATTAAATAGTTTTATAATTACATATTATTATGATCTGGTAAATAGTCTCCATTGCATTAAAACAACACAAGTTCAGAGCATTGCACAAATTAAATAACATTACTATGAGATCTACATATAAATAATGAACAGAAAAAAGTGGTGAAATAAAAAAATATATCCTACATGGAACCTAACATGCAATCATTCATCCATTTGGAGACTGACCATTCAATTAAATAGCTAATATCAAACTCAGTTTATACATAAGTAATATATAGGAATATTCATCAAATATTTACTTCATTTTTCATTCGATATTTTCATGAAGTTTTTGAGTTGTTTAACAAAAAAAATATAGTATTAATATGTGTGTAAAGACAAGATACTCAATATTCTCTCAGAACCTAAAATATCAAAAATAGAGTGAAAAATACAATCAAATTTGTGATTAAATTAATCTACAAAAGCACACACTTATTTTTGTTTGTCATTTGAGTTTGTTTTTTAAAAATCACAATCCTACTCTCTGACCAGCCTGGCGCCATGGTAATATCATGTGAAGGTAGCACACCCTGATGAATGCATGTACATTTCATGTGTAGAGAAGATCATGACAAAAACATAAACAGGACAAAGTGATAATATGAAAATAGAAATTCACAAACCAAGTGCCGTACCAACAGTGTGCCTGTGTTAACTGGAGTAAAACAAAAGATGCTAATATGTTGGATATCTTTTTTTAATGATATCTGACATAGGACCAGGATGAAGGAGAGGGCTTGGAGCAAATGAAACATTGGGGAGGTGAAAAAAAGGCTAGGGGTATGGATAAAGGATGGGTGGGAGGCGGGAGGGTTAGATGGTGGGTGGGTGAGGTGGTTTGGATAAAGGTTGAAGGGGGAGGTTGGATAGAGGATGGAGGCTGGGTTGTATACAGGTCGTGGTGAGGGACATGAAAATGAAGATGGCAACAAAAACGTGTGCCTGTTGAAGATAAAAGGTAAACAAAGTAAAACAAGCTTATGTACCGCTACGATTGAGCAAAGGAACTAAAAGCATGAATAATTCCATGAGGAAGCCCTTGTCTGCTTCTGTTACATTCAGCAAAAGAGCTGGGGATTATCCTTCTAGACAAGAGTGAGTGAGTGAGTTAGTTCTATGCAATATTCCAACAGTATCACGGTCGGGGACACCAGAAATGGGCTTTGCACATTGTACCCATGTGGGGAATCGAATCTGGGTCTTTGGCGTGAAATGCGAACGCTTTAACCACGAGGCTACCCCACCGCCTTCTAGAGTGAGTGAGTGAGCTGGGTTTAATGCTGCTCTGAACAGTGTAAAGTTACATCACAGTATGACAGCTATATGTGGGGGGAAGCCTGAAGTGATGCAGGTCCTGGACATCCATCACTTAGATGAAACTTTTACATTTTGTTACTTATATAAACTTCAAAGTTTTGTGACTAACACTGATTTATTCTTTTTGTTTTTACCTCTAGCTGGAATCTGGCTGAGGGTGGTCCCTTCAATCCAAGTTCTTTTTCTTCAGAAAACACTTTAAGTAACATATCTCAAATCCAAATCTTGGTTCTTGACAAGGAAGTGCCAGGATGCCAATTTGCACTACACATGTGTCCAAATATGTTATTACTGTTCTACTACAATTAAACAATTGTTACATCTCTTTACTTATGCAGTGAGAGTCACTGTTTGACTGAGCTTGAATGAAATAGCTTTGAATAGTACTCAATATATATAACAGTGAGTTTGGTTTAACGCCGCTTTAGTAATATTCTAGCAATATCATGGCAGGGACCCCAGACATGGGCCTCACACATTGTACCCATGTGGGGAATCGAACCCGGGTCTTCAGCGTGACAAGTGAATCACTTGAGAGAAACCCACAAGCAGTAGTATGGTGCTGAATCAAGAATCATAATCCAGAACTTAAACCTACTATCCTATCACAGGTAAGGGACATAACTCACACATGACTCATATAACCCTACCTTGATGAGTTAAGCCTAGGTACAGTTTGGGGAAACAGAAAGCTATAGTTTTTAGTTATATTGTAACACAGACAAGGGTTTCCGTAGGGTTTCCACATAGAATGTCAAGTGTGACTGTCATCACATCTACATCGGCACAGAAATAGCACAGGGGATCACAGACATCATTCTCACAGTTTGAGCACATCTCTCAACTTCATAATGGATACATGTAATATTTATCACTCAACTGAGCTTCAAGTATCAAAAGACTGCTCTAAATTCTAATCTAATTTTACATGATTTTTAGACATTACGGTCTCGTTACCTTTTCATAACAACTGGTGTCATCACTGATTTTCATTGATTTATTCATGAAACTGTAACAGCTATTTTCTTCTTGTCTCTTTTTGGCGAAAATGTATTTAATCGACGAAAATATATGTTTTTGTCTATATATCCGAATTTAAATGATGAATTTTCTTCAAATTTCATAGAATTTCTAGTGCAATCGTATTGGTGTAGTTTGAGGCTCAAATTCGTAGCAACTAAGATAAAATCGTAGAGGTTGGCATCTCTGTATTAAGACACTCTCTAGGAATCAAACACTTTGTACCCAATACGGCAAACTTGGGTCTTTCGACCTGAATGCTGGCTTAGTTTTATTGAAGTTCTGACATCCTTAGAGGTGAAACAAACCGATTACATACAGAAGCAACTCTGTAATCAACAGTAGGGGAGAAACAAGCATAATGAAAGAGAAATTATAACAGTATGCGGATATCTTGTCACTGAGACATGTCTTCAATAATGGGATTATATTTCCCTTGTGCATTAAGACTTTGAATATCAAAATATACTTTTTGACATAAAATATAAATTAATGATTGTACCTTAGTCAGATTACCATAGTTTCAAATGGTAGGTGTACCATTCAGATTCCAGGCTTCTCGTGACATCATTAAAAAGAAATTAGCACAATATGACAATATGTACATGCAGTTTTCATTTTAGTGTTGAGGGCTTCTAAAATATACTGAGGGAAACAAATAGGGACCAAGTACACATGAGAGTAAAAGTGCTCCTCTGTTTTCTCAAGGTTTCTTCACAAGCTTTGTATTGCACTGTGGTTAACAATCTGAGAACAAACTAAGGAACACTCCCGGGAGTGGTGTTCCGTTATTTGTTTCCTTGAGTATGTCATTAAGCCAGTAATACTGATTGAACAGGCTGACCTAATTTACAGAAATCAATTCAAGAACCTACTCAAGAAAGTAGAGACGTGTATGAAAATAGCCCTGGTTATGATCACATTTATCAACACTTGTACATTGCAAAGATGCGTGTTGATTTCAGTACTGACAGTTACAGAACGACATGCATTTCAGTTGACACAAATAGTGTACATACAACAATATCTTACAATATTTCACAAGATACCAATACGGAAGACGATTCATAAATAACACTCAGAGACAAACTTTCAACACAATTGACAGAAATTTCTATTTCATTGTGAAAATATACTTCAGAGATTAGCATGGGTAACTAAAGATAATATTTTCTGAGCAACTGTTACGACACCTACACCATCAATGTGGATACAATCTGCAGTGTCTGTGTAATATATCATCACTCAGCAGTGAAATAGCCAAGGCTATTACTGTAGTCTGTAGCTTTCCATGTACAGTTCATAAATATTTCAAAAACACTGATATGAATAAAATATTGAATTCTTTTTGATAATCCTCAGTTTTGGAGCATGAGGTAGGCATGGTATTATATAACTCCCTAAAGGAAAGAGGAGGCAGGAAAATCGTCAGGATTCAAATATTAACTTTTTTACTTCTTATGAGCATACGAGCATAGGTTATGACAGCAAAAAATGTAGAAAGATGATTTACGTTCAATATTTACTGAAAGTGTAACTTCACACAATTTTCTGAAAAATATCAAATGTCATATAGACTAGATGGAAACTAGGGCTACAAACTATCTGATCTTAATATTGTTTCAGTTAAGACAAGGACAAAATTCAACAACTTTACAGAGTGTAGCTCTATAAGTGGTTTACGGAAATTAAGATGCTAAAATCACTTTCATCAATTACCAAATTGTGACCCCAAAATATCCTTGTGGTTGACATACATGTGCATAAACCTTGCAATGATTCATCTATAGTCTTTAATCTTTACAGTTTTATAATGAAAGAATTCATTACAGACCTTTTCCCACCTCAACTTCCATGTAACGTTAGCTAACTACTGCATTGCATTGTGACTTGAGAAATATGCGGATTCAGCAATAACACACTAGAACAACTCCAGACATATATTGAGTCCTTATAATGCTGTTTCACCTCAAAGGTCACGGTGAATATCAATTTATCACATGACTGTGGCCTACACTAATATACTCAAGGCAAAAATTAAGGGAACAAATAAACAAAGAAGAAACTGAAGCTTTTGCTTCAAATTTTCCGAAAGAGGAACTGAATTTGGTTTTACGTTATTTTTTAATTTCAGTTAAATACATTCAAAGATGGGGAAAACAAATGGGCTTCACATTGTACCCATGTAACTGGATGTCTACCGGGTCTTAGCAACTGAATGCAATGCTTTAACCACTAGGCTACCCCAATCCCTGAGTTTGGAACAGAATTAATTTGTAAGTTACTTTGTCTACCAAATGATTTTATTTCAGTTAAATACATTCAAAGATGTGTAATACATACAGAAGTATGTCATTCCCAAAATAACTGGGATGTCTAATTTAAAAAACTTTTGAACTGAATGCTGCTGGAATGAATCTTGATTGAATGTTCACATTCTGAATCAATACTAGAGAACAGTTCACTTATTATTTGCCTTGAGTATTTTCTAAAAACTACCTGTGATCAAAATTGGTGTTGGTATTTGAAATATAAAGGTACATGTATTTAAAAATTGACTGAATCAGATTCCTTTTAAGGATGTGAATCTACAGAGGCAACTCACATGAAGCAAGACCTTGTTAAAATGGACGTATCATGGAACTGCAATCATGACAGCTTCCACAATTACATGTGCACTGTACATATCAGTACTTGTCCAGAATGCAAGGTTTCCATATTAACAGGAGTTTATTGTATGGAACTGGTCATCATACAGTATACAGACTAGTAAAGCAAAGAACGTAATATATCACACCACCCATTTTAAAGGTTTTTTATATTAAATATAAATATACTTTAAATATAAGAGGTTATAAGGGTTTCAAAATCTTTTCATTTTTAGCCCCAGTGCCCTTCGAACTTTCCCCACCACACTAAATGGCAGAGGATAAATCTTAAACTGGTTTTGAAGAATGAATTTATATATTAGCTTACCCAAAATTAAGCATCAAATCAAATGTCCTTGTCATAACCCCACTATTAAAAGTTAAGGTTATTGAAGTCTAAAATATTCATTATAAGACCTAGAGGGCACATGGACCTCCCATAATTCACCACTGTTCAATATCTAACTCTATTCTGTATATTTTGGTAGACAAGTTCTCCTTGGTCTTGTTGTATAATGATGGTTAAAAATGTAGACTTGTTTAGCACCAACAGCAATAATGCATATATTCACTCTTTGCAGCTACAGTGTTTAACTAAAGTAACAGTTCAACTACCGGTACTTACCTCCCTTGCTTGTGTACAGATACCTGAGTGTCCAATAAGCTTTTCTCTTTTCCCTATACAGCCCTCATATCTCAAGGAGTATGAGAATTGCACTCAGTGTTGCCAAATGACCTTCACATTCCTAACATCTGATCAGAGCGTTACTTAGGCTAATGTCATTTTAAACAGTATTTCAGTTACGTCCTATCAAAATGGGGGGATATCCCAAAGTGATGTACAAGCATTATTATGGTGCTGACAAGCCAAGAATCAAGATGAAAAAGTCACAGGATTCTGGCACACCAAGGGGATGCAACTCTGCATAGTGAATAGCAACATCCTGGTCAACCAGGCAATCTTCATCCCAAACAAAAAACTTATCTTTTTTTTATTATTTCACGTTAGCTCAGGAGGAAAGCCAACAGGTTTAATAGCTCTAGAGGTTTGCTACATACAAGGAAGAACTTGGATATTAATGGAAAATTTAAGGACTGGAAGATCCATTTCTTCAAAAGGAAATGGCAGTGTCTTTACACTGCAGTACCAAAATTTTGTTAGGAGAATGCTGAGTAATTATTTTCAGTTTTAAAAGTTTTCCTGATTACAATCCCATATCCATAAGCTTTCATAAATGTCATGTCTGATGACATATCTTGTGACCTTGCCCTATAATACAAATTAAAGTTAATGCCACCCAAACCTTTCATAACATTCTAGTTAATCAGTCAATGGTTACTATAGAAATATGAAGGAAGAGTGTGATATAACAGACCTCATAGAATCATTTATTACTAGGGTTGTCAAGATACCAGTTCACTGCAATACTTGAACTCATGACAAAATCTGAACTCTTTTGTCAAATTGATGCAGGAAAATCTTCATTGAATAATCCAGCAGTTTGATGGTGGAGTCATGCTGCAAAGATGTTAAAACCATGTTGAGACCTATTACTGTTACTATGCTGGCAGAATCTGGAATGCAAACATCCTGGCACAACTAAGGGACAGAACTCTGCACAAAGTTAACCTTATTTTCCTCTCCACCTAAAAAAATAATTCAGTTCACTGAACATACATACATTCATCTTTTGAATTACAAATTTCTAAATTTGATTAATTTAACAATCACTGCCTCAAATACCTGGCTAGAAATCCTTTCAATACAAATTTACATAATTCCCCAGTCTCATTAAAATCTTAGTTCTTGCTACTGCTAAACAAACATCTGATGATATCTCATTGCAAGAATCGCCTTTCATCCAACAAATCACAACATCGCCAACAAGACTGGAACAACTGACAGTCAGAATTTGTTTTCTAATCATGTAACATCCAAAAGGCGAACACAACACAGGATATTCTGAACGACAGTTAGTGACTTTATGAGCGATTCCATCAAAACTAGATCAAAGTTCACGGTCATTCACATGTGACCTGTAATGGGACGTCTGCTTTGTTTAGCAGAAGTGAAAACTAAGATTGTGTCCTCAAACGTAAATGATTGAGTATTGGTTGATGTTCTTGATATTATCTTCATCATTATACCACACTGCACCAAATCTCGGATGAATATATAATTACACACTCACAACAATAATGCAAAATCCGTAGCTCATTTTAGTTTTAAAAGATCCTAAATTTACACCTTTGAACCTTACATTCAATAATCTTTTAAAACAAAGAAATTATCAAAAATATTGTGATAGTATATTGGTTGTGATTTGTAAAACATGATCTGATCATTACCTGTAAAAAAGTTGTATTCCTACCTGTAATCACCAGGTAAAATTCTTGCAAAATTGTATCTCAAAATTAAAGGTAATCAAAGACCAGATCTTTATCTGTCATGGCACAATGTAAACATATTAAAATAAGAATATGGTAAAAGCACTGTTGATTCTTACACCTGAAACTTCAAATCAACAAGAACACAACAACAACACACCAAACAAAACAGACAAACAAACAAACATAAATATCTCCAAACAAACACACTGACTAGAACCATTCTGGAACTTTCATCACTTTAAACAATAATTAACAAGACTTATCACACGACATATGTCAACTTCACGTACAAAGCATGTAAAAAAACATGACAGTCACACGTAACCATGGTAACAAATAATGGAAGATACAGCATGATTTCATTCAAATGATGAACTCCTCCACTGCCTACAGCTAAGGAAACATCCTCCATGTCTGAGTATTAAATATGAATATTTATATTAATATGATATTGATGATTAGGTTTTAGAATTAGATCACAGAGGTGTAACGATATGGTTAGATCATGATACGATAATCTCAATACTATGAGTGTGACACGATTCATATCCAACCATGAGTCTGAAACATTTATCCTAAATTTTGGCGATGAAAGATGGGATCTTGTAATATTGTATACCCCAAGGTCTTTTTTGCTAATTATAGAAAACAGGGAAATATTGTATATTGCAACATCGGTGTAAGCTGGTCGCAGAACAGTTTCGAAAATAATTCACACATTTTTGCATCAGAACTTGCGTACAGGAGTTACAAATCAATGAATCGTGGGCCTTGGGTCGTCATACAATAATTTACTGCCATATCGTTACACCACTATCACATCGAAGGTTCTCTCTGATTATTAAAAAACAGCAATAAAACTAATACTATGCAAGGAAATAAAGCAGAATATTTTAGTAGCTGAATATTATCTGCTCGTCTTGTTTATATGTTAAAAGATCTTTTTGCCATTTTTGTAAAACTGTATATCTAGATGCTTTTTTTGAGTCAGTTTCTTTAATAATATACTAATCTTTGACTGCTTCATATGAGATCAGTTAATGTTAATATTAATGATGAAATGATTCAACACTCAAAGGGATAGACAATTATGGTCTTGCTTCTGGTTCCAAGAAATGCTGAAGAAGTTTCCATGATGGGATGATGTTGTTTGTGCCGATGATGGAAGCAGTGAAGATGTTGAGGGACATTTTCACAACGGGTGATCTCACTAACACTCTGTGTTCACATATTGCACATTGCCAAATACTACAAGCTCAGTTTCTTTCCTCGACGCTTCCCTTTCCGTCGGAGGGTGAGAGTTTCATGTTCTGCACGAGTTCGCACCACAAACTTCAGATCAATACTGCTATTCAAGGCATAGAAGACATTGGATCTCTCCGGTATCAAAAGTTCTGGAAAAGAAAGGATCGAATATCAGTTTCCTTTACCAACACATTTGGCTAATACTCATTCCATGGTTGTGCTAGGAACATCATGTTGTCAATACCTACCAACCGACCTCATCCCATGGACTGTCATCAGCCCACCTCCTCATACCACCCAGCTGAAACTTTCCTTCCTTCCTTATTGCAGGATCAGACACCATCCAAACTGATTAACACGCTTCCCCACCTCATAACAATGACACCTACGAATGCCCCCAGCCCTGACACCCTTCCCCTAGTTCATCTAATGGACTGACCCTCCCCGAAACCATAACACCCTTCCCCCTCGTTATCACATGGACTGACCCGCCAAATCATGACATCCTTCCCCCTTGTTATCACATGGACTGACCCGCCAAATCATGACATCCTTCCCCCTTGTTATCACATGGATTGACCCAACCACATCGTGACACCCTTCCCCCTCGTTATCGCATGGATTGACCCACAACATCGTGACACCCTTCCCCCATGTTATCGCATGGATTGATCCCCATCATGGGACACCCCTTTCACCCTCAAGTTATCACATGGATTGATCCCCACATCGTGACACCCTTCACCCTCGTTATCACATGGATTGATCCCCCACATCGCGGACACCTTCACCCTTGTTATCACATGGATTGATCCCCACATCCCTCATACACCCTTTTCCTTCCTTCCTTATTGCACATGGATCCAAACTGATCCCCCCACATCATGACACCCTTCCCCCCGACACCTCTTATCCTCAAACCATACAATCACATGGATTGATCCCCATCACATCATGATTGACACCACTTCCCCTTCGTTATCACATGGATTGATCCCCTTCCCCACATTATGCATGATTCATCCTTTCGTTATCATCACATGGATTGATCCCCACATCACACCCCTTCACCCTCATCACATGGATTGATCCCCACATCATGACACCCTTTCACCTGACATCCATTCCCCATGGACCCACATCAGGACATCCTTCCCCACTGCAAGTATCACATGGATTGATCCCCCAACATCATGACATCATGACACCCCCCACCCTCCACGTTTGATCATCATTCATGGATTGATCCCCAAACATCATGACACCCTTCCCCTTATCACTATCACATGGATTGATCCCCCACATCATGACATCATCACCCTTCCCCACATGGATTGATCCCCCACATCATGACACCCTTCCCCTCATGGGATTGATATCCCCACATCATGACATCATTCCCCATCGACACCCTTCCCCCATCATCACATGGATTGATCCCCAACATCATGACATCCTTCCCCCACGCTATCACATGGATTGATCCCCCAACATCATGACACCCTTCCTCCACATGGATTGATCATATCACATGGATTGATCCCCACATCATCGCGGACACATCCACCCTTCCCCTACTATCACATGGATTGATCCCCCTACATCATGACACCCTTCCCCTCAAGTATCACATGGATTGATCCCCCTCATCATGACACCCCACTTCCCTCTAATGTCACATGGATTGATCCCCAACATCATGACACCCTTTCCCTCACTTATCACATGGATTGATCCCCAACATCATGACACCCTTCCCCATGGTTATCACATCGCGGACGCCTTACCTTTGTTATGGATTGATCCCAACATCATGACACCCTTCACCCCCAATCGCTATCACATGGATTGATCCCCCACATCATGACACCCTTCCCCTCACGTTATCACATGGATTGATCCCCCACATCATGACACCCTTCCCCACATCACACGCTTATCACATGGATTGATCCCCCACATCATGACACCCTTCCCCCTCGTTATCACATGGATTGATCCCCCACATCATGACACCCTTCCCCTCGTTATCACATGGATTGATCCCCCACATCATGACACATCCTTCCCCTCACATTATCACATGGATTGATCCCCACATCATGACACCCCTTCCCCCACATCATGACACCCTTCCCCTCGTTATCACATGGATTGATCCCCACATCATGACACCCTTCCCCGTTATCACATGGATTGATCCCCACATCATGACACCCTTCCCCCTCACATGGATATCACATGGATTGATCCCCCACATCATGACACCCATCTTACCCTTTGTTATCACATGGATTGATCCCCCCACATCATGACACCTGGATTGATCCCCCCACATCATGACACCCTTCCCCTCGTTATCACATGGATTGATCCCCCACATCATGACACCCTTACACCCTTATTTGTTATCACATGGATTGATTCCCCACATCTTGACACCCTTTTTACACTTTGTTATCACATGGATTGATCCCCCACCCTAATATCATGATCCCCCACCATGACTTTCCCCTTTGTTATCACATGGATTGATCCCCCACATCATGACACCTTCCCCTCATTACACTTTGTTATCACATGGATTGATCCCCCACATCATGACACCCTTACACTTTGTTATCACATGGATTGATCCCCCACATCATGACACCCTTACACTTTGTTATCACATGGATTGATCCCCCACATCATGACACCCTTACACTTTGTTATCACATGGATTGATCCCCCACATCATGACACCTCCTTACACTTTGTTATCACATGGATTGATCCCCACATGACATGACACACTTTGTTATCACATGGATTGATCCCCACACATCATGACATGGATTGATCCACTTATGTTATCATGGACTGATCCCCCCACATCATGACACCCTTACACTTTGTTATCACATGGATTGATCCCCCACATCATGACACCCTTACACTTTGTTATCACATGGATTGATCCCTCACATCATGACACCCTTACACTTTGGTATCACATGGATTGATCCCCCACATAGTGACACCGTTCCCCCTCGTTATCACATGGACTAATACCCCACATAGTGACACCATTCCCCCTCATTATCACATGGGCTGACACCCCAAATCCTGACACCCTTCCCCCTCACATGGACTGACACCAGCCCACCAAACCCAAAGACCACCCTCCTGCCCAGCCCGGCCAGGTCCCTCACCTCCTCCATCCGGCAGTATCTGCAGGAGACAGTAGTCTTCCGGCTGGCCTTCCAGGGAGTATTTCTCCAGGACCTTCTGTATCACGGTGTTGGTGTGGTCGGTGTTACATAGCTGCAACAAGCACAGCAATTACACACAGAGCCAGAGGTCATATGTTACGTACAGTGAGTTTAGTTTTACGCCGCACTCAGCAATATTCCAGCTATAAGTTGGCGGTCCGTAAATAATCGAGACTGGACCAGACAATCCAGTGATCAACAGCATGAGAATCGATCTGCGCAACTGGGAACCGATGACATGTGCCAACCAAGCCAGCGAGCCTGACCACCCACCTCTTACACCTCTTATGACAAGCATGGGTTACTGAAGGTTCATTCTAACCCAGACCTTCACGGGTTGTTATGTACAGGATCTTTAGGAGTCAGAAACATTTCTAGAATATCAAGAGCTTGGCATTTTGCAAGTTGTATTATAGGGACAGCTCTGTGTTGGAGATATTCACTTCACTATTCTGTGGTTGGTGTTACATAGCAACAAGAAGCAGTTACAAACACAACCGGAAATCCTATGTACAGGATTCTTAAGGACTGAATCAAGTTCCGGGATATTATCTGCTTTGGTTCAGTTGTAGTTTAACGCTGCACTCAGGAATATTCCAGGTATATGACTGCGGTCTGTACATGCTTAAGACAATCAAGAGATCAACAGCATGAGTATCAATCTATGCAATTGTCAACCAAATCAACGAGCCTTGCCACCCAATCCTTGAAGTCACCCCTTTCGACAAGCATGGTTTGTGAAGACCAATGCTATCCCAGATCTTCAAGGGTGACAAGGCTTGGAAACAAGTACCATCATTGAATGTTTTAGGTATGACACCCTCACGGGATCAAACCACTGAGTCTCAGCTCTAAACCGGATCTTCAAGGGTGACAAGGCTTGGAAACAAGTACCATCATTGAATGTTTTAGGTATGACACCTTCACGGGATCAAACCACTGATTCTCAGCTCTAACCCGGATCTTCAAGGGTGACAAGGTTTGGAAACAAGTACCATCATTGAATGTTCTAGGTATGACACCTCACGGGATCAAACCACTGATTCTCAGCTCTCCGGGAAGTCAATCTACCCAGAAGACTACACCAGGACTGACCATTATGCTCTTGTAGATGTGTGTGCTGGCCTGGTCACTGGGTTCGAGACTGACACGGATCACATAGGTGTCACATGACCTGTAGGGGGACGACGAGGTGTCACTATCGGAGGAGATCACAGATGCGTTGACGAGGAATGAGACATCTGAAATAGACAATGTAGAAAGAGTTGTAGAAATTCTACACATCAGATGAACTTCCAATTACTTTTGATCTACTTTTGCCTAGGAAAACCATGTACATGGAACCTTTTGTACTGATCAAAAATCTGTAATGTATCATACACGCACCACAGTGTCCTGTTGCCAATATGATATGTTATCATGGGATGTGTTTTTTTATTTATTAGCTGCATTTTTAACATGGAAGCTAAAAAAAATAATTAAAATTCAATCCAAATACATTGAATTTTAGGGTGAATATTCTTTTTCCAGCTATTGTAAAAGTAAGCGGGCCTACATTAAAAAAATGTGTCCATATTAATACTAATGTTCTGGCAACAGATGGGAAAGCATACAACTAAACTTAAAATGACTCAAAAGTTATTTTTATTTGGGTTCTAAAATATTATAGCAGTGTATGAAATAAGGCCCGTCCGACCGCCCGAGACGGTCTAGATTTCTGACGGAGGGTCTAAATTTACAGCTAGCCAGCCCGATGGTCTGGTAAAAAATTTAGATGTTCCATACATCTGAGTAAATTCACCATATTTGGTCTGGTTACACCCATTTTGGGCTAGTAACATTTTGAAGTTACCAGCCCTGATGACTGGCTGGATTTTTGGCTTATTTCATACACTGATTATAGATCAAAGTATTTACAAACTGATTCAGTCAAGTAATATCATGCTGTGTCACTGTTATTTGTAGAGAACAAATCAACAAACAACATGATGATGTGATAGATGGTGTACTGATAACTGAACATCTAGCAGTGGACAGCTGGGAAGCAAGGCATACTGACATCTCAGAGAGCAGGGATCAAGGAAACTACCAGTAAGTCATGCTGACTTCACTGTAGATGATTGTGATTCAGCCACTCGCCCCAAAATAGCTTATCATGGTGACTTAGCAGATGTCCTACAGAGTTAGACTATTGATCAAGCTAGGGACATCTCAGTGAGACAATAATACCAATGTCCAAGCAAGGGAGATCTCAGTGAGGCAATAATCTACCAATGTCCAAGAAAGGGACATCTCAGTGAGACAATAATCTACCAATGTCCAAGAAAGGGACATCTCAGTGAGACAATAATCTACCAATGTCCAAGAAAGGGACATCTCAGTGAGACAATAATCTACCAATGTCCAAGAAAGGGACATCTCAGTGAGACAATAATCTACCAATGTCCAAGAAAGGGACATCTCAGTGAGACATCTCACCAATAGATCTACCAATGTCCAAGAAAGGGACATCTCAGTGAGACAATAATCTACCAATGTCCAAGAAAGGGACATCTCAGTGAGACAATAATCTACCAATGTCCAAGAAAGGGACATCTCAGTGAGACAATAATCTACCAATGTCCAAGAAAGGGACATCTCAGTGAGACAATAATCTACCAATGTCCAAGAAAGGGAGATCTCAGTGAGACAATAATCTACCAAAGTACAAGAAAGGGAGATCTCAGTGAGACAATAATCTACCAATGTCCAAGAAAGGGACATCTCAGTGAGACAATAATCTACCAATTGCCAAGAAAGGGAGATCTCAGTGAGACAATAATCTACCAATGTCCAAGAAAGGGACATCTCAGTGAGACAATAATCCACCAATGTCCAAAAGAAAGGGACATCTCACCAAAGTACAAGAAAGGGAGATCTCAGTGAGACAATAATCTACCAATGTCCATGCAAGGGAGATCTCAGTGAGACAATAATCTACCAATGTCAAAGCAAGGGAGATCTCAGTGAGACAATAATCTACCAATGTCAAAGCTAAAGACATCTTAGAGAGAAAATGAGCTACCAATGTCAAAGCTGGGGAGATCTCAGTGAGACAATAATCTACCAATGTCAAAGCTAAAGACATCTTAGAGAGAAAATGAGCTACCAATGCCCAAGCTGGGGAGATCTCAGTGAGACAATAATCTACCAAAGTACAAGAAAGGGAGATCTCAGTGAGACAATAATCTACCAATGTCCATGCAAGGGAGATCTCAGCGAGACAATAATCTACCAATGTCAAAGCCAGGGAGATCTCAGTGAGACAATAATCTACCAATGTCAAAGCTAAAGACATCTTAGAGAGAAAATGAGCTACCAATGTCAAAGCTAAGGCATCTCAGTGAGACAATGAGCTACCAATGTCAAAGCTAAAGACATCTCAGAGAGACAATGACCTACCAATGTCAAAGCTGGGGACATATCAGAGAGACCATGAGCTACCAATGTCAAAGCTAGGGACATCTGAGAGAGACAATGACCTACCAATGTCAAAGCTGGGGGCATCTCAGTGAGACAATGACCTACCAATGTCAAAGCTAGGGACATCTCAGTGAGACCATGACCTACCAATGTCAAAGCTGGGGACATCTCAGTGAGACAATGACCTACCAATGTCAAAGCTGGGGACATCTCAGTGAGACAATGACCTACCAATGTCAAAGCTAAAGACATCTCAGTGAGACAATGACCTACCAATGTCAAAGCTGGGGACATCTCAGTGAGACCATGACCTACCAATGTCAAAGCTGGGGACATCTCAGTGAGACAATGACCTACCAATGTCAAAGCTGGGGACATCTCAGTGAGACAATGAGCTACCAATGTCAAAGCTGGGGACATCTCAGTGAGACAATGACCTACCAATGTCAAAGCTAAAGCTGGACATCTCAGTGAGACCATGAGCTACCAATGTCAAAGCTGGGGACATCTCAGTGAGACCATGACCTACCAATGTCAAAGCTGGGGACAACTCAGTGAGACCATGACCTACCAATGTCAAAGCTGGGGATATCACATAGAGACCATGACCTACCAATGTCAAAGCTGGGGACCTCTCAGTGAGACAATGAGCTACCAATGTCAAAGCTGGGGACATCTCAGTGAGACAATGACCTACCAATGTCAAAGCTGGGGACATCTCAGTGAGACAATGAGCCTACCAATGTCAAAGCTGGGGACATCTCAGTGAGACCATGACCTACCAATGTCAAAGCTGGGGACATCTCAGTGAGACCATGACCTACCAATGTCAAAGCTGGGGAAACTCAGTGAGACCATGACCTACCAATGTCAAAGCTGGGGATATCACAAAGAGACCATGACCTACCAATGTCAAAGCTGGGGACATCTCAGTGAGACCATGAGCCACCAATGTCAAATCTGGGGACATCACAGAGAGACAATGAGCTACCAATGGTAGGATACATCCCAGTAACTTGATAACCTACCAATGACCAAGCCAACCAGTCATGGCAAGCAGGTAGCCTACAAATGATCAATCTAGGAACATCTCAGTTAGTCATGGCAAGCTGGTATTCTACCAATGACCAAAGACAGTTGATGTAAGTTGGTGACCTACCAATGAGCAAGTTAAGTACATCTCAGTAAGCTTGTGGCCTACCAATGTGCAAGTTAAGTACATCTCAGTAAGCTTGTGGCCTACCAATGACAGAGCCAGTGAGAAGATGACATGTCAGGGTGATGTACCTGAGACCTGGAAAGTGAGATCCCTACGACAGCAGGACCTACCATTGGCCGAGCTAGGGAGATCTCGGAGAGAAGATGACCTACCAGTGGCCCAGCTAACGAGGCTGTGATGGTGTCAGGAATACTGGAGAGACTACTTCTGTCCTCTAGCCCACATGCAAACAAACCAAATTTGCTGCTGTCAAATTTGGCAGGCTTGTGACCTAAACTGAAAAACACAGAAGACATCATTATTCACTGTACAGACATGTATATACAATCTGGAGAGTACATCCGTAAATCATATTAGTCAGATGGAACCCACAGTGAGTGAGATGGGTAACCACTGTACAGTATTTCAGTTGCATCACAGTATGTCTGTTTAGTGTGACTGTGAGATTAAATCTCAAAATCATATCAACTACTTTGGTGAAGCTCACCAGCAAATGTTACAAACCCCAAGAAGTATATTCAGTAAAAATGTGGCTTCAAGAGTCTGGCACAACTAAGGGAGGCAACTCTCCACAATGACTTACAAGGTCAACAATCTGGCACAAATTATGCCAAGGGCCAGTATTATCAACAATTATAAATGAGAATATACTAAAAAGAACATGAGAAAAAGATATTCTGCAAACTAGATCAGCATGTTCTTTAAGTTAGTATCAGAAATTTGAGTTGTTGTAAGACTTTCATGCAATAAGGCAAACATCCCAATAGGACCTTCTCAAAGAACACTCATTGTCTCACTTTGAGTTCCAACATAACGTTTGAATTACCATTTTCAACCAGGTCCATTTGACCCCAATAAAGCAGACCCTGTGTCTCCAAACGTAAGACTTTATTTTGTAAATCGAAAGAGCTGTTCAGAATGTACACACACAGAGGGCCTCAGTTACACCTGCTTAATCACTTCTAGAATTATATGTGACATGATTGATGACCATGAGGCATAGTCAACCTGTATCTGCCCACCACCTGAACCCCATACTGTCCACCTATAGTCTGTTTGGCTCAAAAGCGGACCGATGAACTGCAATCTAACTTCGAAAACTAATAAACATAAAATACTCAATGAAAAACTGATCATAATCAAAACGTCTGTGAAGCTTTTGCAGAATTTATGTCCTAAAAATAAAAAAGTTGTTTAACAAACTGTCATTAAAATATTGACACAGTTCACTATTTGTTACGAGGGAGGAGTGCAGAGAAAGGGACAGCCAGGTGTGCGAGAAAGGATGGAGACGGCACAGCACAGATTAATGATCAATATCTTTGTCGGCACTTGTGCATGTGCTTCTCTAACACCTGGCTGTCCCTTTCTCTGCACTCCTCCCTCGTAACAAATAGTGAACTTTGTCAAAATTTTAATGATAATTTGTTAAACAACTTTTTTAATTTTAGTACATATATTCTGCAAATAAATCACAGAGTTGGTGTGATGTTTTGATTATGATCAGCGTTTCATTGAGTATTATATGTTCATTAGTTTTTGAGTTAGATTGCAATTCATCGGTCCGCTTTTGAGCCAAACGGACTATAACCATGACCCCCTATACGTCTCCCCACCTAACCATGAGCCCCGTACCTCTCCATCTAACCATGACCCCTATACGCCCCCCACCTAACCATGAGCCCCATACCTCTCCATCTAACCATGACCCCTGTACGTCCCCCACCTAACCATGAGCCCTGTACCTCTCCTCTATCTATCCTATCTATCCATAACCCCACCTAACCGTCCCCCACCTAACCATGAGCCCCATACCTCTCCCCTCTATCTATCCATAACCCCTGTAATGTCCCCCCACCTAACCATGAGCCTCGTACCTCTCCATCTATCCATGACCCCTATATGTCCCCCACCTAACCATGAGCCCCGTGCCTCTCCTCTATCTATCCATAACCCCTGTACATCCCCCCACCTAACCATGAACCCCGTACCTCTCCATCTCGCCATGACCCCCTATATGTCTCCCCCACCTAACCATGAGCCCCGTACCTCTCCTCTATCTATCCATAACCCTCTATATATCTCTGCCTACGACCCCCTGTATCTCTGTATCATGGTTTACACGTGAACTGTACAAGAAAGGAGTAAGTTTGACCCCGTTGTTAACAGTACTGATACAGAAACTAAATCACAGAGTGACAGCCAGCTGTAGGAGTGAGTGAGTGAGTGAGTGAGTTTGGTTTTACGCCGCTTTTAGCAATATTCCAGCAATATCACAGCGGGGGATACCAGAAATGGGCTTCAGCATTGAATGACACAGGTCTTGGGCAAGAATCTGTATCCAAACATTGCACTAATAAAATAATAGTAGTTGTTATTCATAAAGTCAATACTGTACTTCCCAAATTCTAAAATGCCACTCAAAGAAAATGTCAACCATCACCACTTCAGCTACTGTTACCTTACCACCGTTCATGGTGACAAATGCTGCAGCTGTCTCCCTAGTATTAGTTGAACAAGCCTAACTTACTAGACTGACCAATCATGAGACTAAACACAAATAAACATTGGACACATGAAACATGAAGACTTTCACACACATTCTGTAAAGGGATACCCTTGTATCATGACTCAAGTACAGTTTATAACTAACACAGTTATAACGAACTTCCAGATATAACAAACATTTTCTTTTAATTGCCCCAGCCACTTGTTGTATATTTTAGTCACAATGTGTATAACATAAAACTACGGCCAAACTAAAATTAATGGTCCCTTGGAATTCCTTATACCCATAGTTTAACATATCATGATATGTATCAATATGTAAGGTACATATTGTCACACTCCTAGAGAGGCTGATAAAAGAGCACATGAGGTAGGTCACAGGATTGACATATACATGGGCAAGGCAATCAGTTTGTGCTCTTGTAAAGGAACATTTACAAAATAATAACAAAGTGAACACTTTGATCAAGGGATTAGTAAACTTTACACTTTCAAATGCAGGACAATATGAATAATAACACCATGATTATACAAAGACCATCATATAGTTACAACAAATGCAGTCTAATAATGCTACAAAAGAATACACAGTTCTTAATTACTTTCTGAAACCAAGATGAGCAACAACACAGTCATTCCATGACACTGGGTGAGGGTTAGATATAGGAGTTATAACACAATATACACTGTATATCACAGGTTATAACACTATATATTTCACAGGTCACGAATCTTTACTTCACACTGACATCCTACAAGAGTGAGCAAGTTTGGAGTGAGTGAGTGAGTTTATGCAACTGGGATACAATCACATGTGTCAACCAAGTCAGCGAGCCTGACCACCTGATCAAGTTAGTCGTCTCTTACGACAAGCATGGGTTTCTGATGCAGAATTCTAACCTGGATCTTCACAGGTGAGCAAGTTTGGAACAGTAGTGTATGTTATTTCATAGTATAACAGTATCCTTGAATACATGACATGTTTATGGATAATAACTTCTATTTATTCTTTATACAACCTTTCGCAGCTAATTCTTGCTCTTTCATCAGGTGAATCAATGAAGAACTAGCTCTGAACTGTCATATAAAGACTGACTGAGTGAGTTTGGTTTTACGCCGCTCTTAGCAATATTCCAGCAACATCACGGCGGGGGACACCAGAAATGGGCTTCACACATTGTGCCCATGTGGGGATTCGAACCCGGGTCTTCGCCGTGATGAGCCAACGCTTTAACCATTAGGCTACCCCACCGTCCCCTGTCATATAAAGAATAAAAAGAAGTTGTTATCCATAAAACATGTCATGTATTCATGTTCGTCCAACTTATATATGCCTTTCAAGAACAACAGTAGCCTTGTTATATCATGGCCTATAACTTAATGTGCGTGAAATGTCCGAAGTAAAGCTTTGGTAAACCCCACAAGCATGGGTCTGGTGTTGAAAGACCTGAAAACGTAATTGTGGTGTAACAGGAATTGAAGCTACAATTATATATTTCAGGCATGCCCAACTCTGATCAGGGAATTGTGGGACTTCAAGTGACTGGGCTACGCGTGTTCCCAAATAGGGAGGAGAAAGTTGAAGCGAGGCACTGACACTTACCATGTCAATGACACCAAAAGAAACACGGTGCACAGACCAAGAATTGTGATCATTATCAGCCCAATGTCTGCAAGTAATGTCAGCACAAATTCCCAAAATGGAATTTCTCAGTTCATATAGATAAAGTTATGGCTTTGAAGATGACACTTGTATTTCACCATTAACAGGAAAAGAGGATCTAATACTTACACTGAAACTTTTGCAGTGACTGCGATTTTATAATAAGTCCTGGTTTGATAAACATTAACCGAAATCAAAAGTTTTCACAAAGAAATATGTTCTTTAAGTTTTCCTGCTGCGGGCACTAAGTTTGGAGAGTTGGAATCCTAGAAAAATTCCCCGTGGATATTATCGCATAATGGGTTTTTGGGCACTTAAGAACAGAATGTTTCCTCACTAACTGCATGAACAACTGTAAAACATGCCACTAACCAAGTATTCATAATGTCTGTGTGTGGCAACATGTATGGTGACAGTGAGGATAAACTGCCCCTTATGACACAGACAATTACTTGAAGGATTGAATGTCAACCCAGGAGGAGAGGTTTAAGTCTATACAAACAAACCTAGGGACCGTTCATAATTTATGGCTAGGGGGTGATGATGATTTTTATGGAGAAGCATGTACAATGCAAATGACACCCCCACCCCTAAAGTTTATGTACAAAGTAAGTCACCCCCTGCATGTCATGTACAAAATCAATGACCCACCCCTTTCCCATAATTTGTAAGAGTAATTTTTTAAAATATTTTTGCACAAAATCCCCCCTTAAAATCATCATCACCCACCCCTAGCCATAAATTGTGAACGGTCCCCTAGTCATAATTATTAATCCGACAGTGTTATCCTTAACAATGTGGCAGACTGAACAATGTGATTGTTCATATAAGGTTCTGGATCATGATAGTAAACACTTGGATGTGATGCCACAAACAGCAGATCCTGGCAACACTAAGGGAAATAACTCTGAACAGCTTCTTGCAATACCTTAGACTACATGACCTTGAACCTTATTTCAACTTGACTGGTGAGCTAGAACACAATTTCAACTTGACTAGATCACTGGAATAAATCTCGAATTTGATGGAGAAGTGGAACATAGCCAAGAAACAGATGGCAAATAGGTTTGTAATCTCAGTTTGAATGAGCAACTGGATTGTAATCTCTACTTGGATTGAGAAACTGGATTGTAATCTCTACTTGGATTGAGAAACTGGATTGTAATCACTACAGTGGAAGCCCTCTAAACCGGCAGCCCTCCAATCCATCATGCTCTCAATATCGGCACTAGAATTTGGTCCCGGTAGAAGCTAATTACTGATCATAAACCGCCCTCTAAACCGGCACGCCCTCTATACCGGCACAAACGAATGCCGGTTTAGAAGGCTTCCACTGTACTTGGATTGAGAAACTGGATTATAATCTCTACTTGGATGGGAAAATGGTTTATTGGATGCAGATGTGGATTGTAATCTAAACATGTACATGTTGGATGAGGAACTGGACTGTAATCCATATTCATGTCACTTTCAACTCACATCGGGAACATAACCAGAACATACTTTTCATGCAGAACACATGACTATACTTGCACATATACATTGTGGAAGTATACCATCTAGATGTCAGTCACACTTGAGCAAACATACACCAACACTGTATCACAACTGGTGACCATCAACCACACAGCTACACAACACTAGGTGGACAGTGTTACCATGGTTACTGGGTTAGTGACAACCACGCACCACCTGGATCATCCTTACTAGTCAGGGGTTTATATCATGTTACCATAGCAACTGTCAGCAAAACACTATCTGAATTCATCAGGTGAACAAAATCAATTTTGAAAGGTTAGACTGTCAAGCCGAACAGTGGACAATGTCTACAGTCTCTTTGCTCTTCACATCATGTTCACTGTGATCCTAACAGGCACTGGGACCAGCCATTAAATATTCTGGGAGGGGAAGACCGAATACTCCATCACTTCAAGAGATTCCATATTTTCTTGGAAAGGGGAAGCAGCCAAAACAAAATACATATTGGAAAATTTGAGACAATATTTTTTCTTGCCATCTTTTTTAATCCCCACGCCCCCACAAAACTGAATGGTATGCTCCACTGATTGTCCAAACTATGTTCAGGGATTATCTTAATTTGATTGCACTATGAGAACACAACTACTTGCATAGTCTCAAGTCTATGTTCATGATACTATTCCCCTGACCAGAAAGGGAGCAGAAACTTGGTGCTGTCATTCAACAATATGGTCATAAACACCTTGGTTTCTTAGGCAGCTGAAGGCAACAAAACCATAAAGATATTTCCTTTACATAAATTCCAAAATATCCCATATTTTCACCTATTCCTTACTGTAAACAATTCAGCTCAGAAAAAGCAAATATGAAAAAGGAAAAAATTAGCGAAAGAGTGCTGATATTGATATTGAACCCATAGTTTTTTCATATATATAAACCTTATTTCTGTGACTATTGTAGTGTATACTAGATAGTAATAAACATTTACAGCACTATGATTTGTTGAAAGCTGGATTTGACTTGTTCGAACAAAAGCTATAGTCTTTATACAGTATTGACAGTAAGGACAGTCGACTCTCATTAGTAGAATCTGCTGGAAAAAATAGTGAGTGAGTGACTTTTGTTTTACACTGCTTTTAACAATATTCCAGCAATATCACGGCAGGGGACACCAGAACAGGGCTTCACACAGTGTACCCATGTGGGGAATGGAAAAAATAGGAAATAGACACTTTTGTTGTGTTCCTTTCAAATCTTTAGCTAATTATAAATGAATGGTATTTAATACATAAAAGTGATCAACTAATAAAAAAAAACCACACAATCTGACCCTATTTAAGCATTTCATCACAACATTTGATTATGCTTCTCTTTAATTTTTGAGTCCATGTGATAAATTGACATTTTCACAATGCGATCTGGCCCTAATTTCTTGAAACAAACTGAAGTTTTTACTCAAATTTCAAACTGAGTTTGACAAGTTTAAACAGCTGACTTTTTAACTCAACTGTATTTTTACATAAAAAAGCCCAAACAACTTAAATAATCTATCCCCAAACTCAAAGTGTCTACTATGTTTGAGTTTAATATTGATTTAAATTCATTTTGGAAAATACATTTTCCTGCATTTTCTCAAATCTGAGTAAAAACTTAAGTAAAACCTCGAACTTAAGTTTGTTTCGAGAAATCAGGGCCTGAGCACTACAAACTGTAATAAGTAGTAATGTTAAAGTTTAGGAGTCAATTTAGGATCACTTTGTAAAATAGACCCTGTTACACTTTGATTCAAGAATTGATTGTAACCATCTAATTTAAAAAGTTAATACCGTGTCCATACAACTGCACCATAGTGAGAGTCAACTGTACATTATTATCAAAACAAGACAATAGTAAAAGAAAAGAATTGAGAGATTTAGAAAGTCCTCAGGCCTAAGAAACTAAGCGAGCAGTGTTATGGCCGACATGAGGCTGCATCCAACACCTCACCTAAGACTTTGAGCAAATGTCGGTTCATGTAGCTGTATATGCCTATAACAGAGGGATGACACATTCTACATCTTGTATCCATGGAAACTAGCATATCACTCAGAGAATTAGCATAAAACAACATACCACTGGTTACTTAGGCTGAAAAGGTAAAATGTTTCGTTTTCAGAAAATGACTTTTGGAGATGAGTTGGGAGACTGCTTAATGACTGAATGTTTGAACAATCACTGAATTTCAAGGATATTAATACTTTAATATAATTAACAGTGATTAAAGTCCTTGAATTTCTTAGAATCGTGTGTGGAGTGAGTGATAGAGAGAGAGAGAGAGAGAGAGAGAGAGAGAGAGAGAGAGAGAGAGAGAGAGAGAGAGAGAGAGTGTGCTTCTGTGTCAGTGTCTGTGACAGAATGCCAAACACCAGGCAGGGCAACAACAAATACCATCCTTAAACAATTTTTTGTGTGGCATTGTTAACAATAGAACTATCAACATACTGCACTCTGTGCAGCCTTTCCATCCATGCTTCCATGCTGCAGTCTCCTCATAAGTGATAGGAATTGGAATATTGTTGCCAAATTAGGATCCATGATTTGAATCTGATGACATTGGATCTTGGCATAGCAAGGCATACATTCAAGTGTGGCAACATTATCTTAGTATGATGACAAGTTTAACAATATCCCTGCAATATGAAAACTGGGGACACCAGAAATGAGCTTCACATACGGTACCCCTATTGGGAATCAAACCCAGTCTTCGATGTGACAAGCCAACACTTTGCCCACCAGGTTACTGTCTCACCTTTACTGTATCTCAATCTATTACTTCCTTAATATGCTTCCGCCAACTTAATACAGCACAAGAATAATTCTAACCCGGATCTTCAAGAGCCGATTATGATATTTAACCGTATCACTCAAGGTACATGTGAGTGAGTGTATGAGGATGGTTTGGACAATATCACAGAACACCTGAAATGAGCTTCACACATTGTCACCATTTGTGGAACTAAACCTGTGTCTTCAACACGACAAGCAAACACTTTAACCACTAGGCTACCCCTCAACAGAACCTACAAATGATAAAGCGTAATGTAAGTACATCAAAGCACTATGAAAGCTAAGCTTGCTAAACAGGTTACCCCTTTCTCCACATTTCTTGCAATGACACCATCACCGTGACACCACAACCAACCCTGCAAGCGGATTGCCTGACAAGTTAAGATCTTACCTTGGAGAAGAGCAAAACTTAATTGCACAAGTCAGGATAGGCTCAGATTTAGCCTTTGCTCTAGAGAGTTCAAGAAATCAATATTGGAACAAACACATTCTCCATGTATGCATGGTAACATCAAAAGCAGGATTATCTTACAAGGGACGTTACATTTACAAAAAAATCTCACCAATTTTACAGTATTATTCAGCACAATCATACAAACTGTTTGGGGTAATTTCTGTATACTAAATAAATTTTGATCATATTCATTATTTGTTTAAATAAATTTCATATTTCCTTTATATCAAAACAAATTTACTGAATTTCAGTATTTGGGTACTGGGTTCTATCATACATGTAGAAATCAATTTCCAGTTGATATTATCATTTCTTGTTGAGCATATTGTAGCATCTAGCGGAGAAGATACATGGATATTATGTTGCTAATGAATTAGTTGTGATTATATGGAAGCTGAAGCTCACCTGGCTGATTTCTTCTTGATCTTGGCTGACCCTTCCATGGGAGGCTCTATTGCACAAGACAGTTCATGGCTGGAAGCAAACAAGGACATTTGATTCAGTTTGTTGTTCAATGCCACACTCAGTAAGAATGCAGCTAAAATGATTGAATCTGGCACTCCAGTGATTGAGCACAAACCATGTTTAGAGATGGTGACACAAAATACCATGATATTGGGGTATGGTGACACTCAATCTCTCAATACTGCAGCTAAATGATTGCGTCTGGACAGCACAATCCAGTGATTGATGTTGAGAGCACCAAACCATGATATTAGGGTATGGTGACACTCAATCTCTCAATACTGCAGCTAAATGAGTCTAGACATGACACAATCCAGTGATCAATGTTGTAAGCATCGACCCGCATCATTTGGGTATGATGACACTCAATGAGTAACTGACCCTGACCATCCAATCCATTTTGTTGCCTCTTGAGATCAGAACAGACTGCCAATTCAGAATCCCTACAGGATGAGACCGCCTCCGTGGTGTAGTGGTTAGAGTGTCCTCCCGGAGAGCGGAAGGTAGCGGGTTCAATCCCCGACCGCGTCATACCAAAAGACGTTAAAATATGGTACTTGTTGGTCCCTGTCTGACGCTCGGCATTAATGGGTACAACAAGGACTGGTTGGCTCGGAGTCAGTATAATGTGTCTAAGTGGGGTATTCATGCTTCACTGCGGCATGGTATCTCAGTGGGCTAGCACTATAAAACCAGCTTAAGTCTGGGCTAGTACAAGCAGCCGCACATACACATACACAGGCATGCACGTCGTCATATGAGTGAAATATTCTCAAGCACGACGTAAAACCCATTTCACCTCACCTCACCTCTCCCCAACAGGATGAGATTCAGGTGAGCTAAATTATTATTCTTTCATTTTCATTGTAGACTCAAACTGAATCAAACCAAATCCAAGAGACTAACCCTTTCTTATCACTGTGCACTTTATCTGAACTGAACAATGTCTAAGGAAAGCAAACCTTTCATTATCGTTGTACACTCTAACTGAATCGAACCATATCCAGAATTGAGTATCTTCTTTGAAGTTGTAAATCTGAGCTGCTGACTGGAGCAGTTTGAGCTGAGCGAGCACTTCGAACTCCTTCCGATGTTTCTCGAAGTTGATGAGGCCTTCCTCTGTCATGTCAGGGTTGGCTGTGTCGATCATGGTCAGATCTGTCAGAAACGTTCCCAGGTACGGCACCGTTCCCTGGACAATGCCCTGCAATGACAACATGTGTCACTACAAATCATGTTGTTTCAGTTTGAAAATTTTAACAATAAATTGTATATTTATATACTTATCCTATCTCACTACTTGCACCTCTCTCACTTGTTTTGACTCTAAGTGGAACGACTGTAAACTTTTTCCCATAGGCCTCCTGGTCCATTCACCCATGCACTCCATGCTGCTCTCCTTATTGGATAGGTTCCTAGTCCCCATTGAAGCATGCAGCATGCCCCACAAACTGCCCATGTGACTATATCTGAATGATCATTCTCTCTCTTGTCGCATGACAATATGGACGGCATTATATTTAGGGACAGGTTTCAGCCTAACATCATGGGGAAACCAGATCTACACTCAATAAACTAATTCTGAATTTCTTTTAGGAGATAGGCATGGGAAACAGGGAACATATTCTGCATCTTTGAGGCACGTGCAAGATATGTACTTGAGATCTGTCCACCGCAGGGATGACATGTATTGGGCACTTGGGATCCAGCAATTCAACATATATTTATACATGCTCATTTAGCCACAACACAGACAAACACTGTGAAAGCAAGACTTACATTATCTATCCATGACTGGCTCTTCTGCATGTTGCGTCGTTTTAATGTCTTATTTTGGCTGTCCAGATCGGGAAACTTTGCTGTCGCTTCCTGGAACAGAGAATAATGAGATATTGCACATGAAACTCTCATCTTGTTTCTTTGCTGTTTTACAATGCACTCAATAATATTCCAGCTATATGACAGTGGCCTGTAAATAATCAAGTCTGGACCAGACAATCCAGTGATCAACAGTATGAGAATCGAGTGACACAATTCAGATACAATGACATGTGTCAACCAAGTCAACGAGCCTGAACACCCGATCCCATTGCCCCTTATGACAAGCTTGGGTTACTGAAGATCAATACTAACCTCATTGACAGTATCCTTTAAACAATCAAGATTAAACCTGATTATCCAGTGATTGACATGATGAACAACAACTGACTGACTGACTGACTGAGTTTGGTTTTACACCGCTTTTAGCAATATTCCAGCAACATCACGGCAGGGGACAACAGAAATGGGCTTCACACATTGTGCCCATGTGGGGATTCGAACCTGGGTCTTCGGCGTGACGAGCCAACGACCAAAAACCATTAGGCTACCCCACCTCCCTTATGAACAACAACAAATCTGCTGTAAACATCAATATGTATTGCATAAAGTATTGAACAGTAAATGTTCTTGTTATCACTTAATGAGTACTATCAGTCAGTATATGAGTGAGTGAGTTTAGTTTTACGCCGCACTCGGCAATATTCCAGCTATACAGCGACGGTCTTTAAATAATCGAGTCTGGACCAGACAATCCAGTGAGTACTATCAGTCAGTATATGAGTGAGTGAGTTTAGTTTTACGCCAAACTCGGCAATATTCCAGCTATACGATGGTCTTTAAATAATCGAGTCTGGACCAGACAATCTAGTGATCACCAGCATGAGCATCCATCTGCACAATTGGGAACCGATGACATGTGTCAACCAAGTCAGCAAGCCTGACCACCTGATCCCGTTAGTCGCCTCTGATGACAAGCATGGGTTACTGAAGGCCAATTCTAACCCGGACCTTCACGGGTCCAGTCAGCATATAATGGCATGTAATTCCTATCACAAATGTCGGCTGTACCAGTACCTTCATAAGCAGTTCCCGAGAATTGAGCTGGTTGTTTTCACCTGAGAATATTTCTGACAATTCTTCAAATAGCACCATAGTATCCCTGCAATATTGAAATGTATGTTATTCACACAAAATCATTAAGTGTCACAGAGATGACATCTGCTGGTTTAACTTTGACAAAATCCTTGCAATGGTCTTTGGCAGCATGTGTTTATGGGCAGACCGCTCAGGTCACAAATCTGGTGGAATCAATCGGATGGTTGACAGTGTTCCACAGAATACCATGAGAGCTTCTAGTACTTCAGTCCTGTCTCACTTTGAAGCACATGTAACATCTGCTTACACCAGGTGTTTGAGTGAGTGAGTGAGTTGGGTTTTACACCGCTTTTAGCAATATTCCAGCAATATCATGGCAGGGGACACAACAAATGGGCTTCACACATTGTACCCATGTGGGGAATCGAACCCGGGCCTTCAGAGTGACGAGCGACCACTTGGCTACCCCACCGCCCTGGACTTTGTTTGAAACATGCCTCTGAAACAGCATCGCTCTAAAGGGATTCTCAGAGAAGTAAAAGACGAACAGGCAAATATTTTGCAGTGTTTTGATAAATATTGACTAATGTTGATCCAAGCCATTGTGATATGAGTCAATCAAGTCATCAAACAACAGGCACAAACTGCTGCAGTCTAATTCTTACCAACACTGTGCACTTACTTTGGTAGAGACGACCATGTCCTGCGTAGCCGGTAGACTGGGTGAGACTGTAGGCCCGAGATTATCGCTTTCAGAGACGAAAAGTTCTTTAGCTCTCGGAGTTCCTGTTCAATAAGAAGACAACATTGATTCAAACTCAAGCAAAAGAGTGATACATCGTGAAAAATGCCACTTACAGCCCAATGATGTGAGGTAAAATGGGGTTTAACCTCACACTTGAGAATATTTCGCTCATATGACGACGTGCATACATGTGTATGTGTGGCTGCTTGTACTAGCCCAGACTTAAGCTGGTTTTATAGTGCTAGCTCACTGAGACACCATGCCGCAGTGAAGCATGAATACCCTACTCAGACACATTATACCGACTCCGAGCCGACCAGTCTTTGTTGTACCCATTAATACTGAGCGCCAGGCAGGGACCAACAAGTACCATATTTTAACGTCTTTTGGTATGACGCGACCGGGGATCGAACCCGTGACCTTCCGCTCTCCTGGCAGACGCTACAGCCTCATGACTTTGTCACTGCATGGTTTGGATATCTTCTATTTTGCTTAGATCAACAACATAGTAGTGCCAAGTAAAAACACTCTCTATATTTCTTATTATTGAAGTAGTATAGGGAATGGGGGTTCTGTGACAGGCCGATTAAGAGCGTCATTATATATCTATTCCGCTTCCAGCCCCAGTATAAATTAACGATTTCGAGCAGAGACACCATTCGATGCACATCCCAGACCCCTATAGGGTACCATGAGTTTCGGCAACCCCAGGCGGGAACGAGGACTGCAATACGTCCCCAAGCCGCAGACGGTGCCGGATGCTAAGTTCCCAGTCATAGAATGGGGATTCTGTGACAGGCCGACTAAGAGTGTCATTATATACCAATTCCACTTCGAGCAGAGACACCATTCAATGCACAGCCCATGCACCTCTACGATTTCAAGCAGAGACACCATTCGATGTACAACGCAAACCCCTGGCATGCACCTCTACGATTTCAAGCAGAGACACCATTCGATGTACAGCCCATGCACCTCTACGTTTTCGAGCAGAGACACCATTCGATGTACACCACATCACCACACGAGCCTCCCCAAGCATTCATAGAAGTCCTGGACGGGGAGCACAGTCGGCTCTGCAGCGGGCAATACGTCTAGTGCTGGGGGTCGACGCTTTCCCTCCAGGGGCTGTATTCCATATTTTGTGTAGTCGATTGGAACCGATGCCGAATCGTTGTCTTGTTTCTTGTGCTGGGACTTTTCCACGCATCTTGCGAATCTCCTCCACTTGGTATTGTGATAGTTGTCGTTTTGGGGGCATTTGGTTGTACTATATATCTACAGTTGCAACAAATTGTCTATATGGGAATCTAGGGCACACTAGACATACTGGGGTACACTAGACAGAACCTAGAAGTTTGCTTGTTTTGCTAAGTATTGCTAAGTATTGCTAAGCATTTGCTAAGCATTGCTAAGCATTTGCTAAGTATTGCTAAGCATTTGCTAAGTATTGCTAAGCATTGCTAAGCATTGCTAAGCATTTGATAAGCATTGCTAGGAGTTTCCTGGGAAAGGTTGGGATTCCTTGGGAGGATTGGGATTACTGGGAGAGGATTGGGATTCCTGGGAGAGGATTGGGATCCCCATATAGGTATATAGGAAGTATGGGTATATATATGCCCAGGAAAAACAACCATGCCACCAAAAAGAGATTTACCTTCGGATAAGATCCAAGAAATACGCTCCCTTCGAGGTGCTCCCAGCAAGCTTGAGGTCAAAAGCTCGGCATTGGGTCCACAAGACTCTACGATATATGGAGAGATCAGATCGAGGAAACCATCAAGAACCAGAAGTATCGGTTAGGCGACAACCAACAAGTATCGTTGCGGTCGATGAACCACAAAAGGTGACTCGGGGATAGATCGAAGTAACAATACCTGGTAGTATCGTTACCAACCATCCAGGACTTCACGATCGCCTGGGAGTCTCGAGACTTCGTGGTGGAGCAAACCCGCCAATACATCGTCGAATTTGTTGGTTGACATCCTGTCGAGGTTGGACAAGGATGATGACAATGACTTAAGTCCTGGAAGAAATAGAAGAGGAACAAGAAGACACCGTCTGGGTATCCAGAAGGTGCGGGAGATGGTAGAATCAGCCCAAAAAGTTAACCTATGTTTCGATAGCTGCCGTGATACTCTGGAAGGTCATCCACAAGACCTGGAAGCATAGCAAACCAGTTTCCCAGCCGACAAGCCAGCAACACCTGCCCCAAACCCCGGACCCTTTTCACATGTAGTAACATTCATTTAGACATTTGACTCGCGATAAGGTATATAACATGTGGCCCGTGGGAACTCATTATTGCAAATGGGTATTGCTCGGCAAGCCCACAACCTGCGACAAACGCTGTATGACTGAATATTGCCACTCGTCGATGCCCACTGTGTGAGAAAGGGTCATGTCAATTATGTTTGCAAAGTATGTGGCATAGGGGTCAAAAGGACATTATGGGTTGTGTAAAGACCATGGAAGGGACGTGGTTGAAACCAACTTATTTACTTATAAGAAGAAAGACTACCTCAACGAACGTAACCGGCTGCTCAGGACCGAAAGTTTAAAGGTGCGCTTCATTTTTAAAGCTGACAGGGTTATCTGCACATTGAAAACGCCTCTATTAGACATGTGGCTCGCATATGGTATACACCATGACTACTGTCATCGAACTCAAAGCTCTCGCCAAAAGTCGGTGGACTGACGGGTTATTCCCGCCTTAGGAAACCCCAACTGCTCACCTTGCTCGATATGAAATATACCAAGCTCCCTACCGTGGCGAGACCTCAAACTCCGTGCTAAAGAACGCGCGGATTGAAGGGTTATTCCCGCATGAGAAGAGCCGAGCTGATCACCTTGCTGGAAGACACCAGGCCAGTCGAGTTGAGATTTGTGCAGACGAAGCACGCCGGGTAAAGTATCTCGGGGTTGGATAATGACGGTTGATTCCAATATCGATACGGTACAGTCAAACCCCATCGCTAGTAAACTCCGCGAAGAACTAGGCGACTTGAAAAGCATCAAGTACCAACTAACGATGAAAATGGAGCTCCAAAACAGAATAATGGGGCGGCAGTACTGAGTACGTTGCACCTTATTTCAGAGGCAAACAGGAAGCCCTAACCCAACCAGAATTGATTGAATCCTCCATCGTACGACGTTGCAGAAAATACAAGAGTCGTTGGAGAGATATACCCATATGGGCTCTGGATGGGTGGTAGACAAAATCAACACCGTTTATCTCGACATAGCGAACTACATGCCGCTCAAAGGTGGGTCGCGCATACCGGTGCCCAAGCATTTCAAGGCTAAAAGGCCCTCGTTAACCCCAAAACCCAAGGCTGCGATGTTAGCGATTACTGTGCGCGTTGGTGGCGGTCATAGCTGCTACGCATGAACCAACGGGCAATCCGGCAGGCGCTCCAGCTATCCATCGATCGAAGAATCCGGGTTCGACTTCACGGGTGTAGAACGGCAACACCCATCTCCTACTGGGCAATTCGAAAAGCAGAACAAGGTGGCCGCGTCCAACGTGTTCGGCCAAAGGCGACAAAACCATCGTATATAGGATAAGCCCTGTGGGTGATAAAACCGTCGCGTAGAACCAATATATTCCTCATCGAAAAAGACGGCCAGTATCACTACACGGCAATAAAAATCTGAGCCGGCTGTTGCATGATCAATCGATGCACAGAGAAAAGAAACACTTCTGCGAACGATGTCTGCACGTTTTACGCGCAGTCGACCTGCTGCAAGCACACCAGGGGATTGCCTAGGTGTAGGAGAGACGGCGATCCGAATTGACATGCCTAAGGAAGGCGACAACATCTTGAAATTCACCAACCACAAACATCAGATGCCTGTGCCTTACATGATCTACGCAGACTTCGGAAGCCCTCATCAAACGGGTCGACTCACGACGCGCGCCCAACACTGAGCAAAGTTTTACGTGCAAGACCCAAGAACACCAAGCCTGGCGGGTTCGAAGTGCGTAGTCGTCCGATCGCGATGGACAGACGAACGCCCAGTCATCTACCGGCGAGGTCCTAGCGCGACCGAACGATTCCTGATGTGTTTGCAACAGGAAGAGAAAATCATCAGGAAAAGACTGTACACCGCTGCCCCCTATGCGCGATGACGCCGGCGACCAAGTCGTCCCACAAGCGCTGAGAATTGCCACATATGTCAGGGGCGCTGAATGGGGATGTTGTGAGATCACTGCCACATCACCGGCGGTATCGAGGTGCCGCCCATAGCGCTGCGTGCAATCTCCAGCTTAGAATCAACCCTAAAACAATCAACATCCCCGCGGTCTTCCACAATCTGAGAGGGTACGATGCCCACCTGATCATGCAGGCCATCTCGGGAAGGTCGATGGTGATATCAAGTGCATCCCCAACAACATGGAAAATACATCTCGCTTCGCCAATGGTCTGAGATTCATTGACAGCCCTCAGTTCCTCCTGTCATCGCCGATAGTTTGGTCAGCCACTGACACCTTCCCCATCACTGATCGGCATACCAACGCCGGGACTTCGGCCCTGCTGATGAGGAAGGGTGTGTACCCATAATGAAAGGCATGGATGATTGGTCTAAGTTCGATGAGACCATTTACCTCCCATCGACCGGTTTTACAGCAACCTGACCGAATCCCATATCTCCCAAGACGATTCGACCACGCCGGCGAGAACGTGGGGAGAAACTGGGATGTAAGAATCTGGGTGACTACCACGACCTGTACTTGAGAACGGACGTGTTCCTGCTAGCCGATGTGTTCGAGGCGTTTAGGAGGACGGTTTGAAACAGTATCAACTCGACCCTGCATGGTACTACACCAGCCCGGGTCTATCGTGGGATGCGCTGCTGAAGAAAACCGGAGTTAAGCTGGAATTGCTCACGGATTACGACATGCACCTGTTCATCGAGAAAGGCTTACGGTGGGATTTCCATGGCACGCCAAACGGTGCGCAGAAGAGCCAACAATACGCACGTGGAAGGCTTACACGACTCTAGCAAACCCACCAATCATCTCCTCTACCTAGACGCCAACAACCTGTACGGCTGGGCTATGAGTCAGTCTCTGCCTACGGGTGGGTTTGAGTGGTTGGACGATGAGATCGATATCACGAAAGCATCGCTGCCGATTCGAGGAAGGGTTACATCCTCGAAGTGGATCTGGAGTATCCCGAGGCATTGCACGCTGCTCACAACAGCTACCCCTGGCCCCGAACGGTTGATGGTCTGCCGAGACTGGATGTCCGACTATCAGCGGGACTTGTTGGGTGAGAACACCCTGGCTCGGGTGGAAAAGCTTCGTCCCCAACTTGATGAACAAGACCAAGTATGTCGTGCACTATCGCAACCTGCAGCTGTACCTATCGTTGGGTATGAAACTGACCAAAATTCATAGGGTGCTGAAGTTTGACCAAAGTCCTTGGATGGAGCCCTACATCAGAATGAACACGGACCTGCGAAAGCTGGCCACCAGTGACTTCGAGAAGAACTTGTATAAGCTCATGAACAACTCGGTGTTTGGTAAGACGATGGAGAACGATGGTAAAACTCGTACGATCGCAGCAGGAGGAAAAACTTAGGAAACTGATCGCTAGCCCGGCCTTCAACCGAAGCAAGCTATTCGATAACGACTTGGCGGCGCTGCACATGAATAAAAGTCACATCAAGCTCAACCGACCCGTCTACGTGGGGATGAGCATTCTCGACTTGTCCAAACATCTCATGTATGATTTCTACTACAACCGGCTCAAGAAGCAATACGGTGATCGATGTGGGCTGCTGTACACGGACACAGATTCCTTGTTGCTAGATATACACACCCGAGGATGTGTATGAGGACATGGCAAAACACATACACCTGTACGACACCAGCGACATTACCCAAGGACCATGCCCTACACAACACGATCAACAAAAGGTCCTTGGCAAGATGAAGGATCTTAATGTCGCGGGCACACCCATCGCCGAATCACGTCGGCTTGAGGCCTAAGATGTACTCCATCTTGAAAGCTGACAAAGGGAGAGATCCGAAAGGCAAAGGGGTCAAGAAATACGTGGTGAAACAACACATCAAGCACGTCCTCTTCAAACAAGCTCTGTTCAAGAATAAGACGCTCAAACACCGAATGAACGCAGCGTTGAGAAGCCGACAAACACAACATCTACGGCATCACCCTCAACAAGACGCCGCTGTCGCCCATGGACACCAACGGTGGATCGCCGCCCGGCAATCCACGACTTCACGCCACGGGCACATCGCTCATAAACCACTGAGTGGTGAAATTAGTGCTCTTAGTTGACCTGGGCTGTGCATTGAATGGTGTCTCTGCTCGAAGCGGATATAATGACACTCTTAGTCGGCCTGTCACAGAATCCCCATTCTATGACTGGGAACTTAGCATCCGACACCGTCTGCGGCTTGGGGACGTATTACAGTCCTCGTTCCCGCCTGGGGTTGCCGAAACTCATGGTACCCTATAGGGGTCTGGGATGTGCATCGAATGGTGTCTCTGCTCGAAATCGTTAATTTATACTGGGGCTGGAAGCGGAATAGATATATAATGACGCTCTTAATCGGCCTGTCACAGAACCCCCATTCCCTATACTACTATTGAAAAAGGATTTTTTAGGCATCATCAAAGATGCAAGTGAATCATAACGGGACTATTGTATAGCCATGTACAAGCACCGATGCAGGTCTGTGGAGGCCTGTACTAGACTACTAGTCCAGACTAACACCTGTTTTATGGTGCCAGCCCACTCATGCCCTGTTCATCAAGTATACTCCAACGAGGCACAGTATATCCCCTTACTACCAAGCAACAGGCAGGGAAACAGCAAGTACCATCTTGTAACATGTTTTATGAGTGAGCGAGTGAGTGAGTGAGTATGGTTTTACTCCGCTTTAAGCAATATTCCAGCAATATCACAGCGGGGGACACCAGAAATGGACTTTACTTGTACTCATGTGTGGAATCGAACCCAGGTCTTCGGCCTGACGAGCCAACGCTTTAACCACTTGGCTACCCCACATTTTTTATGAAATGACAGGGATCTAACACTGATCTTCTTTCTGCTCTCCAGACTCTGTGATCAGTTTGTGTGCAATAAGCTTGGCCAATACTTGTAAATAATTGAGATAAACGATGGAAAAATATATATAACACATAATTTGCACTGGCTGTTTAGTTTTTTCTTCTTGTCAGTAACTTAATCGAAAGACATGTGAATTTTCTAAGATCAGGATAACCACATAAACCTGAACATGCTGAATGCATTCATCCCAAAAAATGTAAACAAAACCTAAATGTAGAATAAACTATGACAACATACTTGAGCAATGTGTATCCATTTCTGTACAATTTTGGCTCTTTGCGATGTCTTATGATCCCGAGTTTTGAGAATAGTAGCTATCACACGAAGAGACACACGGTTGAACTGTGCTATAGTAGCGAGAACGCTGGCTGCTTCCTTGCCCCCCTTCTTCCCCCGCCGTGCCCACACCGCACCCAGACAGTGATGCGGAACCACCTTCCGAAACAGCTCCTGCAAACAGAAACGGGAGTTGGACAAAACCCAAACAAAGTTCATTCATAAACAATTCTTAAACATAAAGCATATGAATGGTTTTTATCCCACAATCAGTGATATGTCAGCATTATCACAGAAGTCAGGCAAACCTGTGTTAGATAGCATAAGCACAAATCAATACTGACACAACCAAGTCCCACCTTATGAGCTTCCTTCAGTTTGCTCTTACTAGTGAGTGAGTGAGTGAGTTAGTTTAGTTTTATGCCGCTTTAAGCAGTGTCCCAGCAATTTCACGGCAGGGGACACCAGAAATGGGTTTCACACGTTGTACCCATTGCTCTTACTGAAAACACAACACATTTTGCCCCTGGATGTATCCATTTTAAACTTACAAATACACTGAGAATGTTAACTGACTGAGTTTGGTTTTACGCCACTTTTAGCAATATTCCAGCAACATCATGGCAGGGGACACCAGAAATGGGCTTCACACATTGTACCCATATGGGGATTCGAATCCAGGTCTTTGGCGTGATGAGCCAACGCTTTAACCACTAGGCTACCCCACCGCCCCTGAGAATGTTAAACTACTTAAAAGTAGTAATCATGCTTTATTTGGGCAGAAGGGATGCCCTCTTGACCTGGAGTCAGACTCTTACACCAAATAATCATATCAACAACAAAATGGTTAACAGCATGAGCAAAATTCAAGCAAGTCACATCATGTCACCATCGGATCTTCATAAGCCTCATTTTATGACAACAAAGGAGTATCAGAGTAGCTTTCTAAACCAGAGGTTGATATAACAATTAAACATCATGTCCATACGATGTGTTTGTGTGTTTGTTGCTTAACACAGCACTCAGAAATATTCCATCTAAATGGTGATGGTCTGTAAATAATCTAGTCTGGACAATCCAATGGTCAACAGAATGAGCATCAATCTACACAATCGGGTTACAATGACATGTGTCACCCAAGTCAGCGTCCTGACAACTTGATGCAGTTAGTATCGGTTACTGAGGATCAATTCTACCTTGAATCTTCACAGATTACAACCAGCTGTGATGGCAAACAATCAACAAACCACACACTGGAACCACTAAAATCTTATCAGTTAATTCATAACAAGCATGGAATGCTCCCCGAGGTCTTTCCTGAAGAAGGAGAGACATATTGGAGTACAGTGAGTGAGTGAGTGAGTGAGTGAGTTGGGTTTTACGCTGCTTTTAGCAATATTCCAGCATTATCACGGCAGGGGACACCAGAAATGGGCTTCAAATATTGTACCCATGTGGGGAATCGAACCCAGGCCTTCAGCGTGATGAGTGAACACTTTAGCCACTGTGCTACCACATCGCCCCTATTGAAGTACAGAAGAGATATATTAGCACTGAACTGAATACTTACAGCGTCTCGATGTGTCAGCTGTTGAGCAAAGGTATGACTAGAGATGTCGTTGAATGTTAATGGCTTGTGATACTCATTGTCTATCATATGATCAACTTCCTCACAGATGGAAAATCGGAATTCTATTTCGTTAGCTGCAGAAAAAACAGAAGAATACCATTAGGCTAAAAATCTAAAAATAGCAATTGCAAGTGTGTATATATATGTTGTCAAATGAATATATATGTACATGCTCTAGAAAAAGCACCTTCAACATATTTGAAGTTAGGGACCGTTCATAATTTATGGCTGGAGGGGGGAGGTGATGATGATTATTTTTTTAAGGGGGCACCTATTTTGTTCTGGGGAGCTAGGGGGTCAGCAATTTCGTATTACACGCACAGGGGGGGTTGGGGGGTGGTCAGCAATTTTGGTCACATACAAGATGCCTGAAATGACTCGTGTCTGCATAATCAGCCAATGTAGGCTGTCGACATAATTGAAGACATTGGGTGCAATGTTTTTTTAGATATCCCGTTAACAAAAGTTTCAAAAGCGGTCAAAGTGCTGTGGTGACCTTGAAGAAAAGGTCAAGGTTACCCAAATCAACTGCTGTCTGTGTAATCCCCAAAGTAGGCTGTCACCAAATTTAGAGACATTGGGTACAACAATTCATGAGATATCACGTTAACAAGAAACGGGACAACGGGACGTACATACAGACACCACTGAATATACATAGTCCCCTGTTCCGCGTTGCGGCAGGGGACAATTATGCTTAGAAATTATGGGAAGGGGAGGGGGGTCATTGATATTGTACATGACATGCAGGGGGTCACTTATTTTGTTCATAAACATTAGGGGGGGGTGTCGGGGTCATCCACATTGTACATGCTTCTCCATAAAAATCATCCTCACACCCCTAGCCACAAATTATGAACGTCCCTTAATTCCAGCAAATTCACCTTTCTAAATCAGTGAAATCATGTCTGCTGAAATGACACTAAGACCCCTTGTGAGAAATTTCATTGGATAATCAAGGGTTCGCCACAAGGTCATCCTTTCTTAAACTGGTTTATGCTTCATGAATACAAAAGATTACCCTGATGAAGTCAGGCCTTGTTAAACTGGTTTCGGTTCATGAACACAAAATGTACACAAATACACTAAAAACAATTAAAATTTCTCTAAAACATGGGTAATAAATAAAATACCACACAAGTTCTTATTAGATACAAATTTTATGAAACTTATGAACTTCCTATCATATTTGAGTGAGTGAGTGAGTTTAGTTTTACACCACTTTTAGCAATAAAATTCCAGCGCTATCATGGTGGGGGGACACCAGAAATGGGCTTCACACATTGTACCCATGTGGGGAATAGAAACCGGGTCTTCGGCGTGACGAGCGAACCCTTTAATCACTAGGCTACCCCACCACCCCAGATATCATAGGAAGTTCACTTCTTTTGTAAATTATTATCTAAAGAAAACTCTATAGTAGTGTTGAATATATTGCACCCCTGACATCCCCGAACACTCTGCAAGTGGTTGATAGTGTTTAGGGAAACATCATCTACCCACAACCAAACTGACACTGACCATCAGCACCTGAGTGATCCTTCATGAGGCGCTCGATCCGATGTCGTGCCCGGCCCGCGAGGTCACTGTCCGGCAGGAAGTGCAGAGAAAACTTCTCTAACGTATGGAGACAGGGATAGTTTGGAGGTTCCCGGAAATCTTCCGGATAGGTGTCCAGCCACACGGATATCACAGATTTAATTGTTCTGTGAACAAGAAGAAGAGAGTAGAGATATGACGGCTTTCAACTGTCTCTGCCAAAACCAAGTCAACTAGCCTGCACATACCTTTTCACTTCCTCAACTGAGCTAACCAGACCAAACGTAATGTTAGCCAACATGAGATTCTGACAAGTGGACAAAGTCACACATTGTTTCTATGTTAGTTTTTTAAATTATGCTGAAAAAGTTCCTTTGAAAAAGGTATCTTAGTTACAAATGTCTTATCTTAGGTGATGTTACCATCAAAACTAATAGCAGTAACTCATATATTTTTGTTTGTTTTTTTTGTTTAATACTGCACTCTGCAATTTTCCAGCTATATGGCAGCGATTCCTAAATAATCAACTCTGCACCAGACAATCCAGTGATCAACAACATGAGCATCATCTAAGGGATGACTGTATTTCCACAAGAACACTGTACAACCTACAGAAACCACTGTAGAAACTGGGAATTTTTTAAATGTAAAATAATTGGGCGTCTAAGCTGTCTAATGTGCCAGGCTACTGTTCTAGTGAGCTTGAGGTGTCAGAATCGTGCCCACCTGTGGCCAGAGGTAAAAACCTTGGAGTCAACTTTGTGCATAGACTCTTTCAGTGTTGTCACAACCCCTAGTGTACAGTACACAACCCTGTGCACTTAAAAGAATCCACGAATCCGCTGGTATATGACCTGATGGTGGCCACATGAATACGTGCAAACACCTAGTGGCGGGTTCAGCAACGTGCAGTAAACTTGGACAAAGTGCTGTGACTATGTGTCCCAGTCCACCCAGCTGTTAATTGGTACCTCGTAAGGATGGGAAAGCTGCAATAACTTGGTGCACCTAGTGGCTGAAAGAGTTGTATGCTCCCCAGGGAGATTGATAATACGATGTGCCATTGAGACTGACATCCTTGTACTAGTTGCATGGATATGTGCTGCTATATAAATATCTTACAACAATAATAATAATAATAATAACTATAGGAGGTGCGTGAGTTCTGTGAGTTCATTCTGTCAGTCAACAATATTCCAGCACACAGCACAAATGATATACAGAATAAGCCATTCAAATTACAGAATCATGTCCATCAAAGGGATGACTGTATTATCACCAGCACACTGTGAAATCCTACTTACTTGAGCTGTAGTTCATTCAGTTCTGTCCGGTCATCTTCACAACACAACTTCAACATCTGATACCTGGGGAACAAAGGACGTGAGGAATGTAGAAGCTAGGACTAAGTGTTTGTCACCTTTGTTTTTACATTCTTGTGTTTGTTTGTTTGTTTGAATTATGCACACTCATCAATATTTCAGTCATAGTATGGAAGTCTGTAAATAGTTGAATCTGGGCCAGACAATCCAGTGACTGACATCGTGAGCTCAGATTTACTCAGTTTGGACTTGATGGTATGCATAATGCAAATCAAGGATATTAAAAGCTTTGGTTGATTGCTTGGTATAATGCCTCACTCAGCAATATTCCAGCTGTATGACCGAAGTCTGTGAATAATTGAGTCTGGACCAGACAATCCAGTGATCAACAGCATGAGCATCGATCTACACAATTAGGATGATGACATATGTCAACAAAGTCAGTGAGCCTGACCACCCGATCCTGTTTGTCCCCTCTTACAACTATTACAGGCTGCTGGAGACCAATTCTGGCATGACTTTGTGAGATACTTAATTCTGATCTCTTGATTATATTACCATGATCTTAATCCTAAATCAAAGGACCACAAATTACACAAAGAGCTGCACCCATGTTTGTGTATTACTTCAAATGTCATTAATGGTCTTAAATCACAAACGAAAGGACAGTCAGAAAACAGAATAACAATATCTTATTCTAACCTGGGTAGTCATGGGGGTGTTCTTTTGATAAACGTAAGATATTCATTGTTACTCCTCTTCAACCTATCTAAACCTCCCTCTGCAGGTTTGTCATCTTCCTCATGCAGTACCCACCTGTCTATAAGCAGCTTGAGCACCTGTTGTGGTGTTGCAAAGGTGCGGTAAGTGGCAAGGAAGATGTTGACGTAGGTGGAGTCCAGCTCCCCCCTGACGGTAGACAAACTCTCCACCAGCTTCTCCAGAGTCCCTGCCTTGATCACCCGAATCTTCTGGGTCTCCCACATCAAGTGGGAAAACTCTCGCTCATGCTCATCTTCAAGCTGAAACAACATCCAGAGTGAGTGAGTGAGTGAGTGAGTGAGTGAGTGAGTGAGTGAGTGAGTGAGTGAGTGAGTGAGTGAGTGAGTGAGTGAGTGAGTGAGTGAGTGAGTGAGTGAGTGAGTGAGTGAGTGAGTGAGTGAGTGAGTGAGTGAGTGAGTGAGTGAGGTGGGTGGGTGGGTGGGTGGATGGGTGGGTGGGTGGGTGGGTGGGAGTGAGTGAGTGCAGTTTTACGCCACTTTTAACAATATCTTACCAATATCACAGAAGGGGACACCAGACATGGGCTTCACACATTGTACCCATGTGGAGAATTAAACCTAGGCCTTAAATGCTTTAACCAATAGACTACCCCACTGAGTCCTTGGATCTTTTATTAGTGGAACAGCTGCAAACTGCAGTAATAGAATCCTTTTAAACACAAATATTTCCACAAACATCTTGAAAAGATGTAAACAGCCTATTATCATTGAACATAAATGTTGTGTCTGACTTGAACAATGTTAAAGCATGCTGTTTATAAAAAAGATGCTGATTCCATTGGTATATGCAGAATAGAAATGCAAAGTTGGTTGAGGGTGCCATAAGGCACCACACAGATAACATAGGTGTGCCTTTGTGCCTATAACCTTTTGATGATCCATTAAACTTAATACATCACAACATTTATGTCATGTCAATGTATTGTTAATAAGTCAGTAAACAGCATGTAAACCTGTCAACTAGTCTGTCTCACAGTCCCTGAACTACATTATTTCCCCTTCCACTCAGCCCTCCCTGCAATGTTAAAGCCCTAAATGAAGCAAGTCTAGATTTCCACAGGTTGTGATTCTCACTGGGTCTGCTTTTCAATGTAACTGGGTGTACTTGTTACCATCAAAATCATATATATTCAGAGACTAAGCCTTAGTCTAACATGTAATGTTGAGTGCTGGATAACACTATCAAGACTGCAAGAATAGTTCCCCTTCATTAGTCCCGGACCCATAAACTATCCCACAAACTATGTTATCATCCAAAACAGCTTTCCTGTTATGCTCACTGGCATTCAAAATGGCCACACCCATGTTAAGCTGTGAGATGAAGAGTGCCACAGGATAAACAGTTGTATGTGGTGCAAAAAATACCTTTTGTGTCAAGTTGATCAAATTTATCTCATTTTCCATTAAATGAATTATATTGTGTACTATTTTTATAATTTTACTTGTGCCACCAGTGCACATTGAAAATATTTCATTACATGCCAGTTCAATATTTAATGTGCCTTGGCATGCAAATTTAGCACTATTTCAATGCCTGATATGTGTTTTTAAAGCATTTTTAAAGATGTTTAGGAAAAACAATTTTCTTTTATATATCTTTTCAAATGGTCACTAGCTATGATCAAACCATTATCTCAAGGGGATGTTATATTATTAAAATTATTACATTTCTCTAGCATTGCAGAATATCTTTAGGAGTACAACTATCTGTTTCGAGAGAAACCCTTCTGATGAAATTTCCAACAATAACCAACAAAACCTCCTTCAACATTAAAATGCAGTTTTTTTTCAAATTTATGGGTAAACACCATATGCCCTTGAAGATAATAGACAATGGGAGTGTTGCTGCTTTTTCCATGCTAGGCTTCATATCTGAGATAAACAACCACATGTCATCAGGGTCAAGGAGCTTGCGATAACTCAACACGATACTGCAAGATTAATGCATGTTAAGTCAACAGTTGTAAATTAACACAAATATTTTTATTTTCTTGGTTTATGTTGGAGTAGTTGGATGACATATAATAAAAATTAAAAAAGGTTATTCCATGTAAGTAGTATAATGTTTATAGTTAACCAGTGTAAGAAATAAGGCCCGTCCGACGGCCGACCGAGACAGGCTAGATTTCTGACAGACAGTCAAAACACAGTGGAAACCTGATAAGTAAAATTTCAAGGGACTCGCCAAAATTGTTTACTTATCAGGTATTTTACTTATCCAAACTTATAAAAACCTGCAAATGGCAACCTTATCCATGTATATGTATACATATGTAACAATGAACAACTTATCAGGGCTGGCCTCCAGTTGTCAGTGTACTGTCAACTGCTTGACGCCAGCGATGTGTTTGTTTGACTGGAGACTGACATGACTGCCCCTCATGTCGGATTATGTGGTGATCGCTAATTTAGTTATCCAGTCTCTTTTGTTAAGTAATTTACTTCCAGGGACCGTGAGAAGACGTTTAGTTAAGCGGTATTGTTTACTTATCCGAGTTTAGTCTAATAGTGATAATTAATGAAGAAATTTGCTGGGACCAAAGAAAAGTCTTTACTTATCAGGTCTGTTTAGTTAAGCGGTCTTTACTTAGGCGGTTTCCACTGTATACAGCTTGCCAGCCCGATGGTCTGGTTAAATATGTAGATGATTCTTTCATCTGAGGAAATCCACCATATCTTGGTGTCTGGTCTGGTTAAATCTATTGTCTGCCTGGGTTTTAGGCTTATTTCATACACTGGGTTAACTAGCGTTTCCCCCAGGATCCAAAAAGGGCTGGGTGATAGAATTTCAAAAAGGGCACCCCTATTTCCAAAATGGCATGCAATGATACTTTTCCAAGTATTATGTTAAGTTATTCATGCTTATAATTCTCAAAGGCTCAAAGTGTACAGTTATCTAACATGAAATAGAAAATAAAAACAAGCAAGTGGTAATCATCAATTATTGTTAAAGAAGGGCAGGGCGCCAAATGAAAAGGGCCGAGCGCTGCACCCTGCTAACAATGTGTAGGGGAAACACTATTAACAACTTCATGGCGGTGAGGTGAAATGGGGTTTATCGTCGTACTTAGAATATTTCACCCATATGACGACATGCATGCATGTGTATGTCTGGTTGCTTGTACTAGCCCAGACTGAAGCTGGTTTTATAGTGCTAGCTCCCTGAGATACCATGCCGCAGTTAAACATGAAATACCGTACTCAGACACAGTATACTGACTCCGAGCCGGCCAGTCCTTGTTGTACCCATTAATGCTGAGCCCCAGGCAGGTACCAACAAGTACCATATTTTAACGTCTTTTAGGTATGACGCGGCCAGGGATCGAACCACGACCTGCCGTAAGAATATATTTCAGTCGTACGTATTACATTACATTACATACATACTAAAATTTGTATAGCCGATATCCAGCTCAGCGCTGAAACACGAAGTTTGTTTGAAATAGCAACTTGAAACACCAGGCAAGAATGATTACGTCACGCCACACTGTTGACGCCACAAGTGTGACGCGATCACTCTCCTACCCAGAGTTCCATGCGGCAAGCCAGCATGTTTACAGGCCAGAAAAATGTGACAGGTTATAATGTACAGATTTCTTTTACTCTTTTAGTTTTGACGAAGTCTACACATCTAACTAAACATCTTTAATAGAATGAATTAGTTTCTCCAAAACGTAACACTATTTCGCTGTCATTTTACATAGGTTGTAATGGCTCCACGATGCTGTCATCGAGCCGATAGAGAGCAAACGATGCAGCCAGTTTGATATCTAAATATGTACTGTCATAAACCTTACTGTCGCAGTTGTGGAAGAATATATATGTAACAATGTAAAACATTATGAAAAGAGCGCCGAAAAGCTTTTGTGAGTCCAGTCTCTTCTTATTATGAATATCGCATTTGATTACAAACAAGAGAAAAGTCTGGTCACGTTGATATGCAAATTAGCCTGTGGCAGTGATGTTATGTTAAGTCATCGCTGTGCCGGAGTGTGACTATCAGTCTGCCAGGCACAAGTGAACAAGTGACAGTCTCAGGGAGAACTTGAAGGCAGTGTCTTTGAACTTGTTTCACACCCTCTGTTTCCGTTCGAACATTATACACATGAAATGTCCCAAGTGGTTGGATTACACATTCTACTATTCCAACTAGTCTGCCATCGATCATAACAAGATCACTGACTCTGATTGACTGCGGTAAAACCGATAGGGCAGCCATATTGTTTGTTTATCTTGTCGCCTGCAGGTTAATCAATCGATGTAACAAGTATGTAAGTAAAAATGTAATGAATTGTAATTTGTTTATGTATTTTATTGAAAAATATACTCAACTGAACAACCTTGTTTTAATAACAATAATATGGCAAGCGGAGTTCGAGTTGAGGTTATCTCCGAAATGCCAAGCTGTGAATGAACGTAGTAAAGCATAGTAAAATTTCATGAACGAAAAAAGTAGTTCCCTTGGAAATCGAGGCTTGACATGGAACTTCTCCTCGTAAAGTGATACTTTGCCCTAGGGCATCGTATGAAAAATATGAACCCCGATATGTTAGCCCTCGTAGGTAATAAACTTATGTATGTTCACACATTTTGTATGTCACACAAAAACAACTATTCTAAACCTGGCTACCATGGTTACAAAGTGCCATGTTTGTGTACCTGAGCTTGAGAGCGGTATGTGACCTTCTTCAGGTAGGCACTGTACACTGCTCCATCCTCCCTCTCCTCGCGCCAGAATCGTGTCACATCATCCTGCAACACAAGCCACATTGTCAACATTCAACATCAGGGGTGGAAATAACTTTAAAATTGCTAGTGTACTCTGGAACAGTGGCACATGTAAAACAGTGTTCACGAATGGTGTTTTAAAGCAACAGGACATTGGGTCCTGTAAGTTTCAGATGTCTGTTTGACACACTGAAAATTCACAGGACCGATAGAATAAAATTAATCACACCTTTCAGATTTAACATTTCTTATAACTGGCATTGCAATTATTAACAAACATAAGATTTGAACAGCTAACAAGTGTCACATGTCACGTATAACAACTTCAGTCAAAGTCAGTCAGAAATATACAGTCAGACACTGGGGCCCGGCGGGTTGTAGACTTCTATCGGACCGTTGGTGAATCTGCCGGATTTGTCAGAGGGTCAGACTATATTCGTAAACACTGGTAAAATCACTTGCACTGATAATTTTTCCACTATACCGTCCGTTTTCTTGTTGATTTTATAAAATAAACAACATAATTAACATTGGAAAGTCAACTGGACACCAGTACAGTGTGATATACAAATTTGCTTGCCCGACAGAAAAAAACACTGGACTTGGACATCGGGCAATGGGTTATTTCCACCCCTGGACATTTTCATCATTGGAAACTTAAGTGAGGTTTGCTGGTACTGTTTCTGACTCTTGCTCAATGCTACACGTGGCAGAATTTCATCTGTATGATAGTCATTTGTTAATTTTTTAAATATTCATGTCTTGATCTGACAATCCAGAGAATATTTTGAGCAGTGAACCACGACATTGCTGCTCGATGACAAAATCAACCAAGTCAAGGAGTCTGACCATCTGATCCATTTGTTGTCTATTGTCAAACAACTAGTCACATCTTGAGTGTAAGCCTGTTTCACTGTCCCTGGACCACATCATTTCCCCTACTGCCTAGCCCTCCCTGCAATGCTAAAGCATCAAGTGGGATTATTTGTTAATATCAAAATCATATATATTAAGAGACTAAGCGTTAGTCTATTTGGGTGGGACACGTTGGATCCCAGATTCAAATGCTATTGGCACAAACTTCTAAGACAGTCACATCATTTTGAATGATGGCTTGCAAAATGAACATGAAAAGATTTTTATTTTGGCTACATTATAGTTAGAAATTTAGAAATGAACAAGAGGCTGTAGGTGTTGTTGGTCTTCTTTTTCTTTTCTTCTTTTTTTGGGGTGGTGGTGGTTAAAGCAGTTCTATCATGACTATCAGTAAAATTTCTGTATCCATAAATAGGATAACTAATATGAAAGCTTCACTAAGATGAAATTGTATTTAACTGATCTCAGTAAAGCATGACAAGCATGATGAAGAATAAAGAGAAAGCTTTAATTAATAAACATGATAAAGTTAATACATAGGTTTCAACTGTATCAATGTCTCCAAAATTTAGACTATACCCTTTCTTTAAATTCACTTTAGGGCAATATAATAATGATAATGCTTTTAACCAATTTGCCTAGTAACAGACACTGACATCCTTGTTAATCACTGAGACAACCTGCCTGCATTCCAATCCACCCCAGGTGAAGGGTGTGCCCGTTACTGATGACATCATACACTGTAACAACTGATCATGATGATCCTCTTGCACACAACTTCCTCGTTCCATTTCTAATTGGTATGATGGCTATCTTCACTTGAAAGAATGCCATTTATAATTTGTACTCCACAAATTGATAGTCTGTCTTTCTGAAGCCCAGGGCATGTTTATATATATAATCACTGTTCAGGCCAGGTATGGCTCAAAACTACTAAAACCACTAAATTTCAGGAAGAACTACAGAACTCTGGCTATCTTTCACATTTCACATGTGAATGTAAACAACAGTAACAAATCATCATACTCTCATTAATTTTTAGAGGCTTGTGTTCAGAAAAGCATGATTTTTTTCAAAAAACCCCAATCTACATGATTAGTACATCAGCAGTGTTTAAATAACCACAGGACCATTTACAGATTTATATTGAAGGTCAAATGTGGGCATCATGTATGTAAAACGCTATCACGCTAAACGCTGCTTCCACAAAGTCCACAGTCTAGACTACCAGTTGTCCGACTTCCATTCTTGTGGAGGTCGCGGTGGCTGTACGGGTTAGGTGGCTGACTTTGTGTGCTGGCGATTAGGTGCCTGACTCTGAGGGTGTGGCTTCGAATCCCGGATGGGACTCAACCCAACAAAAGTACTAGAATCTGTACTTTACTAAGAGAGTGTAATCCCAAATATAACACGTTACATTTGCGACATGGGATCGCAGGTCGGGACCAAGCTGTAAGACGAAGTTTCTGAGGAGAATAAGAATAATAAAAGAATGGAATTTCTTTGTTGGAATAGTAACATAGTGGAAAAGAAAAGAAATTGTGATATTTTCTGTCCAAACTAAGATCATACTTTTGATCAGGCAAAAATTATTTCTTAAACATGGATGCATCCTGCAATCATGACATTTTAAATTGATTTTAATGAAATAGTAGTTTAGATTCTCTAAGCCTTAATAATGGAAAGGTGAACAAAATGACTACAAAAGCTTAGAAGCTCAATTTGTCCTTATTCCACTAAACCCAAATTTCTGCGTTAACTACAAAGGTCAAACAGTTCAACATGCTGAAAATGTCTAACAGTGTGACAAGAGAAACTAAAACTGTATTCCTGACAACACCTTCTAACATCTTCAACAATAAGAAAATGAATATGTCTGGACAAAACAATACAGTAATAGACATATAGTACACCAACGGAAGTATAAATAATGATTAAGGACAAAGACATGTCACCAACCAGAATCTCACCACAATATCCATCTGAAGACAAGCAGAAGTGATAATACTGTGCCATGTTTGCTAAACCAGAATCCACAATGGGAGGAACATTTTGAAGAATTTAAACAACTACAAACAATGCATTCTTCAGAATACCATAACACAGAGAGTTTTTCAATTCCTGTATACTCTTACTGTTGTATTCCTAAATGTGATAGTTCTGGGGTTTTATATCCCCTGTTTGTGACCACCCATTGCAATCGTTAGGACCTTCCTCTTTCTCATCTTGTCATTGTAACTTCTGCAAGAATTAATTGCCCACTCTTGAACCCATCAGCAGAAAATTATAGGAGTACTTCCTGTCTAACTAATGCATGCTTATTAAGTCATCAACTTTCAACAGACAGCATCCTGAATTCTCCAAATATACTCTACTTTTGTATATTTCACTTCCTGGTCGTGTCCCCCTCAGTATAAATGATATATATACTTATTGACATTCAGATTGAACAGGAATGTTTTTTAAAAAAACAAATAAACTTTGGTTTTTTGTACTCTTTTAACTATTTCACATGAAAGATTTGTGGTTAGTCTTATGTGGAACACCAAATTCATTCTTAAAAAACTTGTGGTTAATTAATACCGAGCGAATAAAAGTTGCCAAAAAGTCGCCTGCTTCACTCTCGCCCGCCAACGAAACCGCAGACAGGTTACCTAACTCTGTCGCCAGAGCACTGCAGTGGCGTCATATGAGGAAGGATTTTCAGTTAGTTGTATAGAAAGTGTGTAGCAAGCTCGTCATTTTGATGATTTCTTGACATCAACGAAGACATGCCAAATCATGGCGTTGTCGTCAATTGCTCCTAGGGGTCGGGCGATGGTGTAACCATGCACAAATTTCCACAGGACCCCGCAGTTCGTGCTAAATGGGTTATGTTTGTGAGTGCGAAGCGAGCGTTGTGGAAGCCTGAAACAATATCTTACTTGTGTTCAGAACTTTTCACGAAAGTTAAAGAATCAAAACTACTTACTAGTTGTAGTAAAATATGTATGATTGATGACCATAAAGATTTTCCATGACACAACTTGTAACATAACGATTTCTTCCTCGGAAGCGAGGTTGTGGTCGAAGTAACAATAATACTGTACATGTAGTATTATATTGACACCCACCTCGCTTCCATGAGAGAATTGTTATGTTACCTTCTAACATCTTCAACAATCAATTCAATTCACGTGGTTAACCTCTACTCACCAGTGTGTAGATACTAGTCAATGTACGTCTTTATATTTGGTCTTATAATCCTAATTAGTATATTATCATACTTGTATGCATTTTGAAACTAAATAAAAAGCAGACGATCTGCTGATACTTATAGTGAATTTATAACAGGACTGTAATATCTAGACATTTTATAGTTTGCCAATGTGAATCATAATTGTAATATCTAGACATTTTATATCACTTCACACACGCCCTAGTGTATGTTCTCTGTCTCATTACACTTCACGGCGAAAACAATGATTCAGTTGAACGCTATGATAAATGAATAAAAACAAAATGCAAATATTAAAATTAAAACAGATTAGAGTTATAGGAGCAATGTCAGGCTATTACCTTATTCGAGGAATGTATCCATCAATATCCACAAAAACGAGTGATATGCCTTTCATCTGCAGCTGTTCCAAGTGATGTGTCTTTTAACAGTCTAATATACGAAAAAGTGACATATCGTTTCAGGTATTTCACATTGGTGTATAGTCTTATTGGTCACTCAAGATAGCACACCTGGCAACAAATTGCATAATGTCTGCCGATCTTTAAAAAAAGTAATTTAGTTAGCCAATAATGAGCAATCAATGAATGTATTGGCGGTTAATCCTTTGAAAGAAGGATGTTGTTTTTACGCAGACACTGACATGACAGAGTGTATTCAGTATAGATTAGTAAATCTACACACATAAACACTACCTTTTGACAAATCCGCTCTGTAAGATAAAAGTAATTAATCCATCAGCGTGTTATCGGTTAATCCTTTGATCGACATTTATAATGTTGAGTAATTACTCCAGACACAAGAAATGCCAAATGGGAACCTTTGTCGGGTAATCTAAGTGGTGTTACCACTAATTATACTAATTGTACCTGTTATAAATTCAATAACTGACCATCAAGTGAATGATGACAAATAACATGTGTAGGTTTAT